ACCCAGGCTGGACACCCCTGGTATACAAGCCCTGCCCACCTCCCCCCATCCAACGACAGTGTGGGCTATGTATGTCCTCTTGTTGTAGTTGAGCCTTGATTGCTGTCAGCACATAGTAGAAGGGATTTACCCCCAGATCGATCAGCTGCAAAGGCTGGCTGTGACCATGAAGGAGGATGAGCTATGCAAGGGCCCGCCCCAGAGAGCAGGACTTACTTCAGCACAGGGCTCAGGTACCACTGAGTCTGCCCACTCATTGTGTCGCTTGGGAAGGTGGTTGGGTGATGCTTCAGTGTGGTCTGAAGCTGCACATGGACTTTTTTTTTTAAATGATGAAAGTTACTCCTGTTCATTATAGAAAATTTTGGAAATGCTGAAGACTAGAAAAAATTTGTATAAATTTGACATTACAGTAAATGGTAAGCATTGTTAACTCTGGCTACAATTTTTTTTTTGTAGATTTCTTCCATCCTCAGCTTTTTTTACTTTTTTCCTTATTTGCTTTTCTTTATTAAAATATAACTACATGTATGCTCTTATATCCTATTCTTTAATTAACTTTTAAATTTTGGAATAATTTTACATCCAGAGAAAAGTATAGAGAGTTCCCATATCCCCCTTTGCCCAGTTCTCCTTGATCTTCAGATCATACATGGTATATTTGGAGTTCACTTTTTTTTATTCCCCACCAACGTCCTTCTCCTGGTCTGGGATCCAGCCCAGGACCCCACGTTGTCCTTAGTTGTTCTGTCCGCTTGGCCATCTCTGGTGTGTGACACTTGCTCCATCTTTCCTTGTCTTTCATGACCTTGACAGTTTTTAGGAGTGTTTCTCATGTATTTTGTAGAACGTCATCAGTTTGTGTTGGTCTGATATTTTGGTCATAATTAGACTGGAGTTATGGGTAGCCTCAGGTGCTGGGTATTTGGGAAGACTCTCACACAGGTGAAGGTCTTTCAATGCAAACTCAAGAGGAATAGACTCTCCACACGGCTTGTCAATGGCGATGTCAACCTTGATCACCTGTGGATGATCAAGGTGGTATCTTCCAGATTTCTCCTTTGTAAAGTTACCCACCCCTCCATTCTTTAGGAATAACTCAAGTTTATCCCTCACTAAAGGAGGGAAGGATTAAATTATTTTCACTTCCTGTCCAACTATAAGAACTTCGACATTTCATTGTAGCTTTTCAGGAACATTATGTCAGTGCTTACATTATAATTCAACCACTGGGAATTTGATACTTGGCTTGGAAAGTTGCCTTTGTCATTTAGTTTGTGTCCAGTTTTTCATGTTCCCATTGTCACAGGGTTGTGTTCAACATGGACCTATGATATGACCCTCATAGGAAGCACTTTTGGGGTCACTGTAGGATTCTCAGCCTTGGTGTCCTGACTCCTCAGGCCCCCGCCGGGCGGATGTGTTCTGCTTTTTTAAAGCCTTTCCCTTGTTGTTGCTGCTCATGTTGGCCAGTGCTCCTTGAGGTCAGGGATCTGGCTGGTTCAGTTTTAATAGTGTTTGTTGGATGAACGAAACTCCTCCCTTTTTATTCCTAGACATAACATTGGGCACACAGGACATTGTAGTATTGGAAGCTCTTCTTATGACATTCCCAGGCCTGGGGAGATTGGGTCAAATGCATGAATGTATTAGCTTACATGAATGTGTGCTCTTGGCCAGATTTCCACAGACCTCCCTTTATGAGTTGTTAGAGTTTAGTTGTCACTTATGTGGGAGTTGGGTTCTAAGGTCAGTGCACACGGTGAGACTCTCTGTGGCTGCAACGCTCCTTGAGGAAGCCCCTGCGCCTTCCATGAGGGTCACTGGAATTGCATTCCTCAGGGTGAGGCTTACAGAGGGGTGAGTCCTACTGAAGGGGCAGCAGCCCCAAGGGCTGGTAGCAGGCTGCCTGCTGGGGACATTTCTTCCCCCACTTTGCCCTTGGCATATAACACTGAGTCTGCATGTGCCCAGTGCCTTCCTTTTGCTGCTTCAGCCTGGTGGGGACAGAGGGGAGACTGAGTGGGCCTCCAGGAGGCAAAGGGGATGGGAGTTACAGGTGGGAGGCACGTGGGTGGGTCCAGTTTTCCACTTCAGCAGGAGAGCAGATGGCTTTCATGGGGTTAATATTTGTGGCTTTAGCACCTTGGGACCACCTGGGGGGCTCTAGCCACAGGTGTGCACAGCCTCCCCTGCAGACATTCTGTTTCACTAGATACTCTGGCTGGGGCTCAAGAATTTGCATCTCTGATAGATTCCCAGCTGACGTTGATGCTGCTGGTCCAGGGACTCTGCCTAAAGCAGCAAGTTTCTAGAGCTGCACTGGCTGACATGGGGCGACTAGCCACATGTGGCTATTTAAATCTAAATTAGCAAAAATGAGCTAAAGTGAAAATTTCAGTTTCTTAGTTGCACTGGCCTTATCCCAAGCACTCCACAGCCACGCGTGGCTGGCTGCCCCACGTCCAATGCTGCATTGGACGGCCCAATCTAGAACATTTACATCATCGTAGAAAGTTCTGGGCAGAGCTGAGGTTTGAATCTCAGCTCTAACATTTACTGGTTGTATGAGTTTGGGCAAATGACTTAATTCCCCTGTGCCTTAGTTTCCTAACCTGTGAAAGAGACAGCAGTTTCTACCTCCTAGGGCTGGTGTGAGGGTCCAGTGAGTTAGTATTGAAAAGTGCTTGGATGGTGCTTGGCTTCTCTGGCAAACACTGGCATGTGTTTAATATTGTCTTTATTGTTGTGAGAAACAGGGTGGGTGGTAGAGGCGCATTGGTCAAGCCTCACGGTGTCAGGCAGATTTCTGGGGGCTGCCAACCTCACCTGTTGGTTTGGTACAGGCTTCCATGGGTGAGGTGTTGTAGGAGCTGGGATGAAGTCAGGCCAAGTGAAGATTTCATGATTGTTTAGTAACGTCTGCCATGGAAGGGGAGGGCCGTCTGTGGCTCACTGTGTGCGGCGGAGGCGGGGGGGCGGGGGGGGGATTGTGTTTTGCCACCCTTCCCTATAGGGATTGTCTAGTTCCTAACCCACTGTCAAAGGTCAAACACCCAGGCAGCAGAGACTGAGATGTGGGTTTGTGTGCAGGAGGCTTATTCAGGACTGCAGAGGAGGTCAGCACCCGTGGAAGTGAGGGCAGCAGGGGCACTGGGCTGCCATGCAGAGCACACCCTCAGCCGACTCCGCGGGGAGCTCCGGGGATGGCCCTGCAGAGCTGTCCTGAGTTGAGGCTGACCTGTCATTGAATGCTGGGCATGACCTTGGCTGAGGCACTCTCTTTATCTGACAACAAGCCCTGGGCGGGGAGAGGGGTGAGCTTGCGAGCTGCTGGCTCCCTACCCTCCAGCAGCTGGGGAATCGGGAGGCCTGTCCTGGCTTGGACTCAGGCTGTGCAGTGCAGATCTGTACACCCAGAGTGGGGAGTGAGGTAGGGGCGGGAGGGGGAGTAGAGTGGGGAGGCTGCAGCACAGGAGCCCAAAGAGGCTCTGTGGTCCCCACCTTTACCTGGGGGCTCAGTTGCTCATTATCAGGTGGGACTTTGGAGCAGCTGAGCCTCAATGTTCTGGTGCTGAGATGCTCACGTCCCTGGGCCCTGAGTTTGCTCCACTGGCCCCCGGGCAGCTGCACTGGCCCCCGGCCCCCAATCTCTTTACTTCTGGAGATGCGAAGGCTTCTTGGCCCCGTCTCTCTCTCTGGAAGTTCTAGGTTCCCAAGGGAGCCCTGACTTCTCCCTAGGTTCTGTATTTCTCCATGAGCTCCACTGGGCCACCCACTTGGCCAGAGCCTCCCGTACTGCATCTTGCAGCGCCAGCCCCTGCCACTCCTCTCCCTTCACCCTACCCTTGCCAGGCTCTTCCTGCACACACCCGGCACTGAGTCAGAAAGGGTCCCAGCCAGCGCTCCCAGCCCACCAGGCTCTTTGTTACTCTCAGCATCTCCCTGGAAGACCTTGGGACCGAGCTGGTAGTAGTAGGGGGTAGGGAAGCATCTTGCAGGTAAAGGTATCTGACATTAGGCTGTTAGACTAGAGGTCAGAAAGCTGGAGGTAGCCAGGGGTCCAACTTGGTCATGTCCAGAGACAATTGGTGAATGTAATGAATGTCCAGATGGACTGGCAGAGGCTGAGTTGACAGTGTTGGGAAACTGGATCATTTTCTGCCCACAGCCTGCACAGGCTTCCTTTCTTGGCCATGCACAGCCTCTGACCAATTTGATGTTTCTAGAACACAGAGCAGTTCTCTCTGACCACACCAGTGCCCCCTCGCTCCCACCCTCTTTCTGTCTCTGTGGGACATGGCTCTGCAGCCACAAGGGACTGATCTCATGCCTCCGATGCACCACCAGATCCATCCCCCCATTCACGCTGTTCCTTGAGGGGCAGACAAGTATGGTGGTTGCAGGTAGACTTGGAGACACATTCTTGTGAGGGTCCCTGTGATGTGGTCAAACAACTAGGTTTTGGGCTTTGATTCAGACCAAGGCTCTGCTACCATCTGGCTCTGACCTTGAGTTGTGACCCTTCACTACCTCCCCCACATTGTGTGTTCCAAACCCTGCGGGTCAATAATGCACACTGTGTCGGGTCAAATGTAGTGTGGGGTTAGGGAACATGATTTCCTGGACAGCACCCAGGCCAGCCTGGCACATAGTAGATGCTCAAATAAGGCTTGGCCCTTCCCTCTCCTCCTCTCTGGCCTTTCAGTGACCTCTCTTTGGTTTGAACTTTTGTGACATTTCATATCTTTTAGAGGTTATCTGGTCACCTAATGCCATGTTCCATCTACATGACCGCATCTCTGGCCATCCCTAGAGGGTGGAGGTCAGTTTGCACATCGAGATGTCACCCTGACCTTGAACCCAGGTCTCCTCTCCTCATGTTCCAGCTGTTGGCGGGATGTTCTTATGCAGGGCCACCTGAGGTGGTATCCAATGGGAGAAGCCAAACCCTGCACTTTCAAACCCCTTAAACCCTCAAGGGTTCCTCTCTTTTGCAGCATCAGCCTCCGAGAGTTGAAGGCCATCTTGCCCCTCGTCAACTTCAAAGTGAGCAGTGCCAAGTTCCTCAAGGATAAGTTTGTGGTAAGTTTCATAGCTCAGCCTGGTGGTTTTGTGAACCCAGGGCTACTGGTGCCTCTCATGTGAAGCCACTAAGCACCTCTGAGCTCTGAGGAATGGTACCCAAGAGAGCCCTTCACCTCCAACTTCATCTTCTTAGTCCAGATGGGAATTGTGTGAAGATCTTAGGACCGTGGTCTCATTCCCAGCAGAGGACCTCCTCCGTAGAGACTATGCCTGCAGAGCTGCTTGACTTGGGACACTTTCGCCATCCCAACTTTTCCTTTTCCTCCCCGTCCTGCAGCCCATTTTCCTTCTAGTATTATGAACAAATGTGTTTGTTTTGGAACATGTTTTGAAGGATTTCTCATGTAGGCTTGCCAGGGATGTGGCATTTTGCCAGCAAGTCCTGATAGTGTAGTTGTCAGAGTTGGCTCTTCTCCTCACTTCCCACCTGTCAGTCTTCCTACCCACCCATGTCTCCATCTACTCACCCCTCCTTCCCCACATCCATCCCCCACCCAGCCCTCCTCCCACCCAGCCCTCCTTCTACCCATCACTTAATTTAGGTTCTTGTGTAATTAAGCTGTTGGTAGATCAGGGGCAGGTAAAGTCACTCCACGAGAGGGAGGGTAGAGTAGGTCAGGTGGGGTTTTTCTGAATGATGTAAGGATGGAGGCTATGTAGAAGCTCCTTGCTGGCCCCAGAGAGATACCTGCTCTTGTCAAGGAACCCAACAACACTGCAACCCAGGAACCCTAGTTGGAGGATTCGTGGCCTGTCAATGGCAGCCCCAGTCACAGGATTCCTCAGCTGCAAAAGCTCAGTCACTGTTGTCCCAGTGAGCACCAGGAAGAGTTCACCCACTCATGGTTTATCAAGCCATCTTTTGCCTTGCCCTCAGCATTCTAATTCAAACAGGCAAAAACAGAGAAGGGTGGGGGTTGAAAGAAGAGAAGAGAGATGGAAGCATTCACCATTGATTAGCACTTAATTGGAATTTTGTTCTCTATCAAGCCTTTACTGAGCTGATGTTACCTTGATGTTATGTAGTTTGGTTTCAGGGGTGTTGGGGGAGGGTAATGGTGGTTCTCCCCATTTTACATATGAAGAAACTGAGGGCCTCAAAGGGTCACATAAATTGCGCAAAGCCATTAAGCAAATCAGAGGACAAGCCTTGACTGGAGTTGAGTTCTGTCTAATATAAAAGCTTGGTTTGTTTTCTTATGCTTTGAAAAATGGCCTATATGTACATACCCTATAAATATGTCTAGATTTGAAAGTGTCTTTGATACCCCCAAAGGAGGAGTTCTCATTATGGTTCTTGGAATTCTGGTTGAGACTCTTCTTTTTGGGGGGTCAAGGGCAGAGTTTTTACCTGGTGGATTTCCTGTTGGGTATGTTCTCCCGGCAGGTAAATTAGGAAACTTGTGGACAGTTTGGGTTCAGAGGAATGCTGGATTGATTTTAGCCAGTGTTATAGAAAAGGCATTCTATTTCTGTAAAAGGGAGGAGGCATTCTTGTGGTGGACACCAAAAATCGTGTGGTCACTTTTTTTTTATATTTACAGGAAATAGGCGCGCACAAAGATGAACTCAGCTTTGAACAGTTCCATCTCTTCTATAAAAAACTTATGTTTGAACAGCAAAAATCGGTAAGGTGATTCTTGAGCAAATGATTGAATGATGTTTTTATTTCCCCTGTGTCTCAAAGTCCAGCACGTTCCTAAGAAAACCAGAGAAGTCTCCTTTCTAGTCACAGAAATGTGAAGCGGGGATGGCAGTGACATGCCGTTTTCATCTGGCAGGCTGGCGAAAGTGTCAAACGTGAGGGTGCTGTGGCGGGGACGTGGGGGACGGGGCTCGCCCACCTTCCTGGTGGGAACGTGAATGGCTGTAGGTCTGATCGGAATTTAATCTAGGTCTCTTAAAATAAAAAAGTTCAACCACCTCTACTGTACAGTCTCATTCTGGGAGGAAATTTATCAAATTATTAATAGTAACCATCTCTGGGTTAAAGGATTATGTGCATGTGCCTACTTTTTATACTTTTATTCATTTTTATGGGAATATATTTTTTAAGATAATATGCTATTTTAAAACTGAATTAAACGAAAATTGAGTTTTTAGATAATATGCTATTTTAAATTTAAAATACATTTTGGCCCGACAGTAGCATTTTGCAGACTCTGTTTTAAAGAAATGAAAGCACTGGGACCTAAGAATGTGTCGTTAGATTGTTTATTGCAGCATTATATATGCGGGCAAAGTCCCTGGGCACCACCTGAGCACCTCTCAGTGCAGGAAGAGCCGGGTGAATTATGGTCCAGCCGTACTCCGCAGCATCATGCTGCTGCTGAAGAATTCTGAGTCGGTTGTGTTTCTGTTGATGTGGGAGGATACTCCTGCTATTTTGTTAGGAAAGCCAGCAGCAGATTCATGCAAGGAGCTGGTCCGATTTTTTATAAAAACAAAACAGAGTACAGTCATCATCCTATATATCATTTGTGTGTGTTTTTATGAACAATGAGAAAGTATGGAAAAATACACACCTCACATTTAATATTGATTTTGCCCTGGAGGATTTTGAGAAGATGAACAGGAGGAATAATTACATTTTTCTTTGCACACCTCAGTTTTCTTTGACTGGGTCCAAGCTGGTCCATTTCTTTTGCAATAAAAAAAAGTCCCATAGATTATACAGTTTATAAAGTGGGGCATTCAGTACCCTGCTCGGAGCATAGTGCCTCCTGGGTGGCGTGCACACCACAAACAGGAGCTGCTGCTGTTACTGTTGGCAAAAGGCTTTGCAGGCTGCAAAGGTGGGCCCACAGCAGAGCTGACAGGGGGCAGAGAGTAGGCGGGACTTGGAGTCAGGTGGATTATCTCGTTCTTCCCATCAGCTGTGTGATCTTGGGCCAGCCACTGACCACTCCCAGCCTCAGTGTTCTCATCTGTGTAACGGGCGGTGATGCCTGCCCCACTGGGCTCTGGGGATGGCTGAGTGAGGGATTGGAAGTTAGGAGTGAAGGCATTTTTAGGTATGAGTGTGAAGTGCTGGAAGACAGTTATAATTGCCTTCTACGTGCAGGCCAGCAGGCTGGCCGCAGGGCGAAGCCTCTTGATGGGTGACCGATGACCACGTGATTTTGGATGTCTCCGAGGCAGAGAAGGAGGTAGAGAAGTGGGCGAAGCATTTCCTGTCTGCCTAGAGTGGGCAGAAATACATTATTTTATAGAGTAAAAAACTGCATTGCAGTGTGTTCATTTTTTCACATATATAATAATTAGTTCTTGTTTGCCAAATACAATAGAAAGGTTGTAGGCATCGGGAGTTGAAAGACCTGGATTCTAGCCCCAACTTGTCCTCTAATGACCAAGTGATTTTGGGGAAAGCTGCCTTTTTCCTCCTCACTCAGCCTCCTCTATAAAATGAAGGTATTAAATTGGGTTATTAGTTATAAAACTTTTAAAACTATATACTCCCCTCCCCTTTTAAAATATGGAACCTTAATAAAAATAAATCCACTGCACAGAAACTGATCAAAACTCTTTTTTAGGTTAAAATCTGTAACTTTTATTTATAGTCAATTCTTGAGAACGATGAAAATGTTTTGATGGCCGGGTACCTATAAAATAGAAAATAATGACAATTGCTGTTTGATGCAATAGACCGGGATTGATAAAAACTTGATTCACTCAAGATGAGTGGTTGCAAGTAACAGTTTTTATGATCAGTTGCCTTTAAATTTCAAGACACTCTCTCATCCAACAGATGGCAGGCAAAGCTTGAGAATAAGATTTGCAAAAAAGTGATTTCACATGCCAGCAGATAGGTTAACCCATTGATAATCTCCATTGTGATAAAATTCCATGTAAGATATAGTTCATCCTGCACTTTTCAGCATGGTTCGTTTTAAGGCTAATGTATATGTGTTTGAGAGGGACAACGGAGAGAAAGAAATTTGAGTCAGAATGCGCAGAATCTCCAGATCCCCTAGAGATACCCTGCATTGTCCATTTTTGGGGAAAAGACGTCTGTACCCGAGGTTGTGCTTAATGATCAGAATGCCACATTGGGCCTGCATTCGGTTGTACTTGGCTTAATGGTTTTAAATGGCTTTTTTCTTTAATGAACTGCCTAAATTTAAAAGTTGGAAATTTCCTACTAAGACCCAGATTTTTTTAGCTTCTCTTGAAAAAAATTGAGACCTGCCTATTTATGGGTCCTGCGTTGCCCGTGGTGACGTCTGAGCAGAAAGGAGGTGGCATTCCTGGTTTGCCCGGCCCTCGCTCACACCCAGCTTTCTGCTAACTTACATTGCCTACCAGGCCCTAAAGACTTTTTGGGTTGGCAACCTCTGATCTCCTCCCTACCCCCAGATACTGCACCTACAATATTAATTTAGTGACTTGGAATTTGAATAACAAAGCCCCAAGCTCTGTAGATAGTTACTGGCTGGCTTGAGAAACAGCACTGCCCTTGCGGTAGGTAAATGCCCCTCTCCTAACTGTTAGTGTGTGATTTACCTCCTGAGCTCTCCTGGGGAGCAGAACACAGGAGAGTATTAGTCGTGTGCTGTTAGGGGCTCAGCTGGATTTCTTGGGCTCCTTGGGGAGACTGGGCTATTTATGGTGATTGATGACCCCCAGACCTAAATCCAGGGATGGGTTCCTACTCATCAATAGCTGTAGGTTTTCAATTTGAGGTTTTCAGTTCCTCTTTGTATCTAACTACCTGCTTATGCTGCTGCTTTCAAGCTTCAGAGCTTTTAAAAGTTAGGCGGCAGCAGGAAGATAAGAAATGTAATTCCATGTGTGCCCCCTGGCGAGGGCGTGTACCTTTCTCCAGGCTGTAGTAACAATATTATGTACGCAGATCATAGCCAGCATTTTCTAAGTGAGAACTCTATGCTGGGTGCTGTGCTGGGTGTTTTATGTGCATTTAATATTTACTTCTTCTTACAACCCTGTGCAAGGGGCACTGTTATTATCCCCGTTTTACAGATGAACAAACTGAGGGTCTGAGCAGGTCCTTGCTGGAGGTTGCTCACCGGTGAGCCGCAGCTAGGGTTTGAGTTCTCCTTCGCCCACCTTCAGTGTCCCGTCAACTGATTGTAATTTTTTAAACTTTGGTATTGAGAAAATCTCAAATGTATACAAGCAGAGATAGTAGCATCGCAGAGCCTCATGTAGCCATCAGCCAGCTTCAGCAATGACCAGTCAGCTAGTGGCCATCTTATTTCATCCGTGCTCTTACCCACTTCCCTCTTCTCATGTGATCTTCTATCAGTCTTCCCTTAAATACTTTAATTTAATGCTCTGAAATATTCAGGACTTGACATGTAGCAGTGAGGATATAGGAAAGTTTCTGTGTTCACTGGTGCGGGTGCTGGTTGGGACAGTTGTTTGGAGAGCTGGTTGATGGAATCTGCTGAAGTTCATGTGCACACCCCATGTCCAGGTGCTTTCCCAGCTAGGAATGTACCCAACGGAAGTACTGCCATGGGTGGGTAAGGATATAACAAGGACCCTCTTTATAATACTGGATATAATAGCAGAAAATAGCGATATGCATGTTATGGAATACAATGTGGGTTTTCAAAGTAATGAGGCAGGATTATTCAAGGTTGTAGAATAATACTATAAAACTTGAAAAGGCAGCAAACAGGTTGGGAGACATGATGTAATATATTATGATAAGATGTAATTACACTAAGGTCCATAAAATAAACCCTAGAAGGAAACCTGTTAAATTATTAAGAGTGATAGATTTTCAGGAATAAGATTATGAAAGAGATAAGGAAGACTTCTGCCTTTTGCTTCATAAGTTTTGGTTATATTTGAATACTTACAAGTCACACGAATTACAAAGATAATGTAAGAGAAAAAAATCTATTTGCATTAATAAGTCACACAAATTACAGTGTTAAATTATTAACCCCCAAAATCTGTTCATTTGCATTAAGTGGCTTGACTTGTCTCATGTTCTTATTTTGTGCATGTTTTCCGTCTGTTTTTCTATTGCAGATTCTTGATGAATTCAAAAAAGACTCCTCTGTGTTCATCCTGGGGTGAGGCACCGCCTCTGGGCTACTGTTGCTCAGGGTGGGCATGTCGGTTACGGCGCAGAGTGCAGCTGGCCGGCCCTGGGAGGGCCGCCTCTGGGGGTGGGCGCGGGCGCGGGCGCGGGGAAGGGCAGGGGTCCTCCTGCGCAGGGACTGGCCGTGCCGCCCCTGTGGCGTGGATAAGCACGAGCAGTGGCAGCAGAGTTTGTGGCGTGTTGGGAGGGTGGCCCAGAAGTTGCTGTAGAGAAGCCGGCATGCTTCAGGGCCTCCTTTCCTGCAGTGCGCTTTGTAGAACATGACTGATGAAGAGGTTTTCTACAAAAATTAAAGCAACGTTAGTGGTCAAGCAGGTTTAAGCTGGTATAAATGGCTGGTCAAGCAGGTTTAACTGAATTAAAATAAGTCAAAGTTATAAGTGCTTCACATGGTTTGTGGCAAAGACCCATGTATAATAATAACGATATTATTAAAAAGTAAGTGCTGCAGGACTTGTCAGGCCCTTTACTTGTCAGGGCTACCGATTCCCCGAGTAGGGGGTTTATAAAGTACCCTGTGTTTCCTGAGCCTTACTGCCCGAGAGAAAGGTTTTCTGCGGAGTTAATAGCCCCTAGACCATGGTTTGCGGCACAGCGACCTGGGCCAGCTTTCCAGGACTAGCCCTCATCGATGCGGACACTCCAGCCATTATTCCCTCTGTCACTTTCTAAACGAGAAACCTCAACCCTTCAGGGTGTATACAAAAACCCGAATCTGATGTTTACATGGTATTTTAATGAGAATATTAGTGAATTAATGAAAAGATATGAAGCAAACTTAGGAGGGTGGTTAGCAAAGAAGGTCAGAAATACACGCATAATTGAAGACCGTAGACTTTTGGGAAACCCTGAGTGGTTAGCAAAGAAAGAAAGTTTAAAGCATGTTTTATCTCCTATATTTTAGAAAGTCCCACCCGCACCCCACTGGCAGTGGCTCGGGGACAAGTACAATTTCCCTGGACAGCTCTGTTCTGCAGAGCGCTCTTTCTGTAGGATCCAGGGCTGCCTGTGCCTGTCCAGTGAGGCCCTGGTTTCCTGATGGCCATGAACGTCCTCTCTCCAAGGCCATCCGTCCGCAAGCTGCTGGTCGAGGTGGAGTCTCCCTTTATTTAGGGTGAAGTGCTCCCTCGTGTCACATGGAAAATTCTCCCAACAGCAGGCCTCTGCTGGCTCCACGGCCCAAGTCTCGCATGTTCCTGCTGATTGTCCCCATCCACCCAGAGTCTGGGGGCTTTGTCTGGCACCACTCCTGCTTCAGAGCTGTCGGCGGCTCAAGAAACTCTGGATGGTGGCCTCTAAGGAGACACTTGGATGGGGCCCCAGTCACTTCCCCCGCCGCCCCGAATGCCGCCCATGCCAGCGTCCCCAGCGTTTGCTGTGCACACGCACGCCCGCGCTCTCCCTCCCCTTCCTCGGCGCGGGAACGGCCTCAGAGCAGCTGAACTGGCCTGCCCTCGGGGTTCCTGTGTCCTCTTTGAATCGTCGGTCAGGAGTGTCATCTAGGTCACCTTTGTCTTCCCATGGACAAGCCTGCTCCTGGCACTGAGGAGGGTCCTGGCAAGGTGTCCACTGGGGGGAATGGCCTCTTGACAAGCGAATTGTGTGCCTTTCTAAATACCCTTCTTTCCCCGAGGGCAGCAACACTGACCGGCCGGACGCCTCTGCTGTTCACCTGCACGACTTCCAGCGGTTTCTCTTACATGAACAGCAGGTGAGAGAACAGACGGGTGGGCGGGGGAGATGCCAGGAGCTTCCTGGATGGTTTCTCATCTCCTCACCACCTGCCTTCACCGAGCCACCTGTAGTCGTGAAACAGCGGTCGTCTCCCTGACCAGTGCCACTTTGCCGTCACAGACTCTGGAATGAGAACGGCCTCATGTTAGCCCTTTGTCAAGGCACAGATTAAGGAAGGGGCAAGAGTGAGAGTTCTCCAAGGCAGGCAGGCTGGCAGGGTGACACCCTCCAGGCAGGATATCCTCACCTGGCTGGCTTCTGCTGCTTCTCCTGGCTCAGCTCAGGTGTCACTTCCTCAGGAAGCCACCTCTGTCTGATGGAGGATGTGACTAAGGCGGCGAGCCTAGGTCCTCTGGGGGGATATAGTAGCACAATTGTCCTTAAATAGATGACGTGTGAGAAGTCTCCTAGAGTGTTCGCCTACAGGCTTCAAGCTGGCAGCAGAGTCGAAGTTTTGTGTCGGCAGTGGTTTTCCGCTGGCGGTTCTGCCTCCCGGGGCAGTATCTGGAGACGGTTTTGGTTGCCCCAGCTGGGGGTGCTGATGGCATGTCGTAGGCACAGACCAGAGAGGTGGGTCAGCATCCCAAAATGCACAGGTCGGCCCTCCCACAGCAAGGAATTACTCTACCCCAAGCGTTAATAATAGTGCCCAGTTGAGAAAGTTAGACGGAGATACAGCTGAGATCCTCTCACTAGTTATGTGACCTCGGGCAGGTAGTTTGACCTTTCTCTACCCTAGTTTTCTCTTTAAAGGGGGATGAGAGTCCCACCCCTCAGAAGTATTGCATTGAGCTTTGTGTATATGTGCATGCATCTATATGCATAGTTACATATCTGTTTCAGTGTTTTATTTATATCACTGGAGTCTAGTTTACATTTTCTCTCTTTAGTTTTTTTGTTTAATAGACCTTTTTTAGAGCAGTTTTAGGTTCATAACAATATTCAGTTAATTTATATTTTAAAAATCTTTGCATTTCAGAATGTTTTAAACATGCACAGAAGTAGCCAGGTTGGCATCGAACCACCATGTGCCCATCACTCCAATTTAAAAATTATGAGCATTTGCCAATTTTATTACACCTCATCCTCCATCTCACACTCCTGTGTCTCCCCTCCCTTTTCCCCTTCTTCATTTCTTTGCTGGAATATTAAAGTAAAATGCAATGTATCATTAAGACAATGTATCATCATCTCCTTTGTAAATAGTCAGCATGCCTCTTATGAAATGGACTTCTTTTTCTTAAAAAAAAAAAAATCATTCTAACCCCCTTCTCATACCTTGCATACTGAACACTAATTTCTTTATGTCATCCAATGCACAGCCCACGTTCAGATCTCTTTGATTATAGAGGAAGCAATGGACAGACACACAGCACGCACTCCGCACAGGGCAGCCACCCCGGAGGGCCCAGGCAATGGTGGTAGCCCCTGTAACGCGGTGGACGGTGACTGAAGCCATTGAGGTGTCATGCTTTCTCCATGTGCGGGTTAAGTGTGAGTGGTCAAGAGAAGGAGTGTTTGCTCAGCCTGAGCCACCACCAAGAGGAAATAAAATGAAGGGGAGAAATTAGTTCTATTTGGCACAACTGCACACGTGGTACTGACCTGCCAATACAGTGAAGCCAAGAGAGAGGCGTATGGTTTCTTTATTTTGCCATACTCTTCCTTGCACTGGATTACTTGCCTTAGTAGGGAGCTATTGAAATATTAAACCAGAAAAAAAAAATCCATAGCCAAAAGCTTTTCTGAAAGAAAGGGTTTATTGAGCCAAATGCTGGTCAGAAAAAGACCATGTCCTCGAGCACACAGTCTGCACCACCAGCAGCAGGGCCGATGGGGACAAACGTCCGCGGTCCTGGAGCTGACAAGCTCGTCTATGGAAACAGTGTGGGGAAGAGAGATCTAAGTCGCTTTGAGAGAATTTCCATTGGTTGCAGATGAAGGGGGTGGGAGAAGGTGAAGCGGGCTTGTCCTGGGATCGGGCAGAGTCCGAAAGGAAGAGGCATGTGCTCCTTTGGATTGGCGGTGGGCAGCAGTCCGGACAGCTCATTTGTAAGCAAGAAGCAGAGGCACTTGGCGGCCAGTGGCACCTGGCTGTCCTCTTTAGATCGTTGTGGAAATAGCCCCCTGGAAGGTAATCCAGGGTTTCGACATACACTAAGGAGTGCAAGCCATCTTCTGTTGGTTTCACCCTGCAGTTAACTGATAAATCTCTCTTGTCCCCTCCTTCCACACACTAGTCTGTGGTAATTTAATTTAGGGCATCTCAGAATTTTCTCCTTGTCAGCAGTTACGTGGCTAGCTGCCTGGGGACAAGTGGCCCTATATCCAGAATTCACCACCTAGTGCTGCTTAATTTTATGGCCAACTCACCCCCACTGCCCCAGCCCCTTTGTTGGGCTGCCCTCAGAGCAGGGATATGGACCAGGAGCAAAGTGCGGACGCTCTCCACACGTGAGACAGCCCATGAGCGTCTGTGTGACAGCCTGGCTGACTCGTAATGCCCCATGTGCGCAGTGCTCTGTGAGGGGATGGCATGAAGTGGAGCCAGTCGGCTAGGATATTCGTTTGGTGTGATGGATGCTCATATGTGCAGTGATCACTGTAGCACTTGGTGTGCAAATTAGTACAGGTTTTCCAAGAAAGCACTGGGCAATATGAAATTAGAATAAAAACTTTGAATAAAGGGTATATACTTTGACTAAATAATTGCCCTTCTAGGAACTTATCCTAAAACAATAGAAATGCAGCAATTTCAATAGAAATGAAACCCAGGCTCAGGAGGGATAGGTCTCACTGTAGAAAGGGGGTTAAGAGGAAGACCTTAAAACCAATGTGCCTGAGTTGGTCTCAAGCTCATTGTTGGGTCAAGTTACTTAATGGCTTGACACCTCAGTTTCCCCATTTACATAACGAGGAAAATAGTCTGTACCTGCTGGGTTGTGTGGGTTCACAATCAGCCACCGCAGGAGATTTAGCACAGAGCCTGGTGTGGTCTGTGCCCAGCTGTGACTGCCATCCCCACTTACTCCTTTCACTGTTATTTTTATTTTCACTAATAATAGACTTCTCGCACAATACCCCACACCAAGTACATTAATTTTTTTCACCCCCATATTGTATTTTAAACTCCTTCAGGGAGAAGATTTCTCTCTCTTTTTTTAATCCTTCCCTGAGAGAAAGAGAAACATCGATTGGTTGCCTTCTTGTAAGCACCCTGACTAGGAATGGAACCTGCAACCTAGGTATGTGCTCTGACCGGGACCTGCGACCTTTTGGTCTAGGGGATGATGCTCCAACCAATTGAGCCACACTGGCCAGGGCAGGCAGAAGATCTCTTATTGACAGTCATCAAGATTCAGGCTATGTCAGCTAAGTGCCTGTGCTTTTTACAAGAAAGCTTTGTAGAAGGAAGGAGGAAGCTTCTGGTCTTTTGGGGACATCAACGCCTGGCAAGGCCTTTGCATGAAGTGTCCTACATGAGTTTCATGTTCTAGAATTCAGAGATTGTAACACTTCTGTATTCAAATGAACTGGCTGTTCCCTAGTCTCCTGGCTATTTTGTGTCCCTTATCTAAGTTGATTTGCAAGAATCAACAACAAGTCTCATTGTTGATACGTAACCACGTGCCAGGGAGGCCGTTTCTCCACCACCTCATTTGTGTCTGTCTGTAGGCAACTTTCATACATCCTGGTCTGACTCTTCCCATCCAACCACACCCACACATCAGCTTGCACATTTGCATTTATTATTCTTACAGATAGAAGCTTTAGAATACTTGGAACCCAGAAAGCATTAGTCAAAGTTGAATCTATGGGTCCTCTTTTCTCCCTTTGCCTGATGGATACTTGGGGTTGTAGGGTTTGGAGAGGAAAACAATGAAGTTGCTTTATATTAGGTGTTCTCACAGAAACTCTGTGCATGGATATTATTACTCCCATGCTGTGGTTGAGGAGGTGTAGAGGGGGTATGTGCCTTGCCCAGGGACCAAGTCACCCTGATGGTCTGACATAATTTTTCTTACCAGAGTCCTCTTTTTGGTGATGTCTTGTTCTCTTTGTCATTCTAAGGAACATTGGGCTCAGGATCTGAACAAAGTCCGCAAGAGGATGACAAAGTTTATCGATGACACGATGAGGGAAACTGCGGAGCCCTTCTTGTTTGTCGATGAGGTGAGTGGGCTGCTTGTGGCAAGGGCTGGTTTTCTTCCAGCTTTCCACTGGTCCTGTCTGTAGACTTTGTTCCCTGAGTGCGCTTCTTGCTTTTGCCCCTAGAGGGCGTTTGCTGCCTGCGAGAGCATGGTGGGCACACCAGATTCAAAGGTTTTGGGGGTTTCTGTGAGCTGCTGTAATGTAAGGGGTGCACTTGGCCCTGAGTGAGGCCGCAGGGGAGGTACGACTGAGGGAGAACTGGGAACTTGGAATGTCGCTCCCGGAAAGCAGAGTGTTAGCCCAGTGTCACTCAGTCTTCAATTTTTTTTTTTAAAGGAATCAACAATTGGGATATTAAATTTCCTGCCTTCTAAATGCTATGATACTGTTAATGTTCTGTTTATCAAGTTGATAGGTTCACACATGCTTATGGCATTATTATAGCTTAAAACTGATTATATGTGGGAAGCGTATATTCTTGTAGTAAGAAATATTTTAGGATACACATTAGAAAGGAAAATCTTGCCAGTGAAACGCGTGTCAGTACAGCCTGTGGCTGCCCGAGTTTCTGCATGGAAACTTGGATCAGGGCGGCCTGGAGACCGTCTGCGGAACTAATGTACCTGAGCTGCCATTTCCCTGGGCTGGCACAGGCCAGAAAGAACCAGATCTCATCCATCCTTGCCTTCATCGTGGTGACCTGTCTCTGTGTGTGTGACCCCACCTAGTTCCTCACATACCTGTTTTCACGGGAGAACAGCATTTGGGATGAGAAGTATGACGTGGTGGACATGCAGGACATGAACAACCCCTTGTCCCATTACTGGATCTCCTCATCACATAACACGTGAGTTTTGCCACCAGCCTGGGATAGGTCGCAGGTGACGGGTGATATGGCGGGCATTCCAGTGCGCTGCTTTGGCAAAGTGTGTGGGGAGCGGACAGAGTGCAGGGCCGCACTGCTCAGACGGGAACATACGAACGCTTTTGGAAGGCGTGGAGGAACGTACCTCTCTTTCCCGGTTGGCATTACAAGGATCATCCTTTTTCTGTGGCCCTAAAAAGTCAGTCATTGAAGCTGGTGTTTTCAGTTTGGGCATCTCGTAGTAGCCACAACAAAGCAATAGAATTAGTCATCGAACTGATATTTACTGTCTATCCTGTGCTTGCTGGATACCGGGGGTATAGAAGTAAACAGGACAGGACAGAACAACACTGTTCTCATGTGCTTGGAGGGGAAAAGACCTCCTTTCACTCTTAACAAAGGACAGGAGTTGATGAGAGAACAGGTGGTGAAGTGAGAAAGAGGGTTTTAGACAGGGGGGCAGCATGTGCAAAGCTCCAGGGTCGGGAGGAACTGAGAGGGGTCTGTTAAAACTAGACTGTAGAATCGGGGTTGGGGGGTATTGTGTGGCAGGAAGGGAGGCCGGCGGGGTCAGCTCAAGTGGAATCTTTAAGTGGCAGCAGGGGCAATGGGAGCCTCTGTTGGCTTTTACGCCAGAGAGAAACATGCTCAAATTTACATCTTTGGAAGATTACCCTGATTGCAAAAGAGAGAATAGGCTGGAAGAGAGAAATGGTGTTGCACTTAAGTCCCAGTGTTTAGCCTGCTTTACACGGTGAGAGGCTGAAGGCCTTGGCATCCGAGACTTGCAGATCGGTGCTTCCCCAAGTGTCATTCCAGGCAGGAGCTGGCCAGGCCCTGAGCTTATCTGCAGGCATTTTGGACAGTACAAACTGATTTCATGGTTCTCTCTTCCCCACTGCGTCCATTGGTGTAAGAGTTTGTGTCTTAGAACCGTGAATGTTACCACACCCAGAAGACAAAGAACTTAAACTCTTAAAAAGGGAACACGATAAGGAGGAGAGTGCATAAAGATACATATTTTTATGTCTGATGGATGTAAGTTCCACCAATAGCTGTTGATCACCTTTTCAATGCCTGACTCTCTGATATCAAAATGTTGGCCCATCTCTGCCCTGTTTAGACCCAGGGCCGGTGGGCGGCCAGGGGAGAACCGTTAATTTATCATATGCTGTAAATCTCACTCCTGACACCCTTTGACCCAGTTCTCAAAAAAACACATGGTCTCAACCCTCCACGTGGATTACCAACGTGGTTACTGTTCACATCCTGTGACTGTGGCCTGAGTCTAAGGCGTGGCCACATGATGGCAAGTTTCTGGCCCAGATCCTAACTGTGGGCCTTCCTAGACAGGAAGAGAACTCAGGCTTTGGGGGCTTGGGCTGAGAAGTTCCCCAAAGACACCCTGAGGTGCAGACCCACCTTCTCTCCTTCAGGTACCTCACAGGTGACCAGCTGCGGAGTGAGTCATCCACGGAGGCATATATCCGCTGTCTGCGCATGGGCTGTCGCTGCATTGAGTGTGAGTAGCCTTTTCCTGGTGGAGATAACGCCTACTTCTGACTGAGGCTAATTGTCACTGCCAAGTCCTCAGCTGAGTGTTTGCGCCCCCTACGGGCCAAGGTCACAAGTCACTCTTCTGGCTCCACAGCCTTGGAGGAGGCTGGGGCAGGGAAACCATTGGCTGTTCAGCGACCTCTGCTCCCCCTTGCTGAGCTCCCCTTCCCCGCTGCTGGGCAGGCACAGATGGGGTCCCCAGTTGCTCTGGCAGGCAGGCAAAGATGGAGGGCCTGCCCCCCTTCCTGAGCTGGCCGGCCCCTGCCACCTGCAGCTTGATGCTTTTTTTGTTTTAAAGGTGGATAGTCGGGGGTGGGATTTGGGGGGACAGGCCAAGGGAGAAACCGGTGCTCATAGCATCTGGGGTAAGGGATATGGTCATCGGTGGCAGGGACCTCTCCCTAGAAGAAAATTGTGCCCACCACAAGGAGTGGTGTTGAGGCTGGACGGGTTGGAGCCCAAACCCCATCTGGGTAGTGTTCTGATACAACGGAAGGCCTGGGAGGCCGGCAGCGAAGACGGCTTTCCTGTCCTTCTGTCCTCCCTCGATTTCCTTCAGGGCTTTTTGTAGAGGAAGGCAAATAAATGCCCTTCAAGTTTTAGCAGCTGGCCCAGCTCTGGATGCCATCCTGATCACAGTCGCTCACAGACTCCCCCATACAGGTGATTCCTGCCACCTGGACATGCCCAGGGCCCAGCCGCTTCCTCCCTTCTCCTTACCTCTTACTCCCTGGCCTGACTCAACCTCCAGAGGCTCATAGGTGTGCTAGGCTGGGAAAAGGCACAAACCACTGATTTAGGCTCCAATATTATTAAAAATTTTTTTTATCATGGTATCAAACTTTAATAGCGCTTATTCCTACACAGTATTACCTATTTATACTTTTTTTCCCTGCTCAGGAAAGAGCAAATGTGAAAAAATTAAGTTTGACGCTGTCAGCTCCTATTACCTCTGGAGACGAAAATATAGGGGATGTTCACCTTCTACATAATCCAGTTCTGTCTGAATGTTTTACTATGAACCTTTAAGAATAAATTTTCATATTGCTACATATTATTTCCACTAGCAGAAAAAGCATGCCAAGGTTTAGACAAGTAAGATCAGAAAATAAAACACAACGTACATATCTTTTTAGAAGAGAAACATTTAAAATAGTTTCTTTTGGAAAAATGTATTGAATTACAAAGGGAGCTTTATTTAAACAACTAAAATCTTCCTACAACAGCACCGGTAACACCCGTCCTCATGTTGGTGGCTCCTAAGTGTAATTATTAGGTTTGTCCCCCATGTTCTAGTAACTGAGTCGGCATGGGGGTCAGGACTCATCTTGTAACCGGCCAGGCACGTGTCTGCCATCCATGGACTTGTGAGGCGGTGGGTGGCGGACAGGTGGTGAGGCTCACGTTTCTCCCCACAGTGGACTGCTGGGACGGGCCCGACGGGAAGCCCATCATCTACCATGGCTGGACACGGACCACCAAGATCAAGTTTGATGATGTTGTGCAGGCCATCAAAGACCATGCCTTTGTCACCTCGAGGTCAGTTGTTTGATTTCCAGGTGGTTCACTTTTAAGGGAAAGGCAGCTGAGTTTGAGCAGACAGACAACCCTCCCTACCCCACACGCAGACACCCACAAAGACACAAACATACCAGTCCGGGCTTCTTTCATTTTGACCAAAGTCACTGCCAAGTCCTTGGCTGAATGATGGCGCCCCCTACAGGCCAAGAGCACAAGTCACTGACTTGGTCCAGAGCCTGGAGGAGGCTGGCACCGGGAAACCTTGTGGCAGTTCGGGGACCTCTGCTCCCCCTTGCTGAGCCCACCTGCCCCTCTGCCGGGCTGGCACAGTTGGGGCCCGCTGCCGCTCTGCCAGGCAGGCTCAGATGGAGGGCCTGCCTCCTTGCCCCTGCCCCCCGCAGCTTCCCTGTGATCCTGTCCATCGAGGAGCACTGCGGCGTGGAACAGCAGCGCTACATGGCCAGAGTGTTTAAGGAGGTGTTTGGCGACCTGCTGCTGATGAAGCCCACGGAGGCCAGTGCCGACCAGCTGCCCTCGCCCAGCCAGTTGCGGGAGAAGATCATCATCAAGGTAGGCGGTCTCGGGCTGCTGTCATCCGTTCAGGCGAGCCAGAGGCCCAGCGCACAGCTCCAGGTCCCGCTGCCCTGGCTCACGGCGCTCTCCTTACTAACCTGTGACCCCAGGCAAGGTCAGTTAGCCTCTGGGTGCCTCTGTGTCCTCGTCGGTCTCGGGGTGGGGGTGTGGATAATAATAGAACCCACATGGTCAGCGTGCCGTGTGAGAGCGCTCAGAGCTGCACCTGTGCCATTGCAGGGATATGGAAATATGAGCTCGTTCATTCTTTGGACAGGCCTTCACCACGCCCCTTTCCGAGGTGCTAGGTGCTAGGGGTGCTCTTACCCTTGGGAGCTCTCAGTCTAGTGTCGGGGGTGGACTGGAGGTGGACCATTGCCCCCAAAAGGCTGCGTACGCTCATGGGTGGCACGCCAAGTGCTATGAGAGAGATGAGTGCTGTGCCCAAGAGGGCCAAAGATTCTGTGGAGGGGCTGACACTGGGTATTTGTGTGACTAGGGTAAAGAAACCAGATATATGGCGGCTTAAAGCGTAGAAGAGTTTATTTCCTCTTCATCTGAGGGAGAGTGTTCTGGAAGCTTTGAAGTCCAGCCCACAGGTCACCCAGGGGCCCCATGTCCTGTTCTGTACTCTCCCAGGGAAGGGGTTTTCAACTGGGGTTCCACAGATCCCCAAGGAATCCACAGATAGAATTCAGGAAGAGTGACATGTGAACTTTGGGGGAAAATGTTGCCTCTTTATTTTTATTAACCTATAAGTAAAACGTAACATTTCCTTCCATTATGAATATTGGCAACAAGCCACTTGGGGCTTTGTTACCAGCAGACATCACAGGGATTTTCATATCACATTCAGTTACGGCAGATATTTCAGAGTAATGTTGTGCTTGTCACAACTTTGAAATTATGGTAGTTATTAGAGCTGCATCTAGATCTGAATATAAGATGTTCACAAAGAAAGCACATCTTTTGTATATTGCAAATATTTTTTATTTAATAGACTAATAATTGTATTTCAACATAATTAGTTTCTCTTACAATCTTTTTTAAAAAATATTTTATTTATATATTTTTAGAGAGAGGGAAAGAGAGGAAGAGAAACATTCATGTGAGAGAGAAACATTGATCCATTGCCTCTCGCACTTGTGCCCTGACTGGGGACTGAACCCACAACCTAGGCATGCGCCCTGGCCGGGAATCGAACTCGTGACCTTTTGCTTTACGAAACGATGCCCAACCAGCTATACCAGTCAGGGCTGTTCTATGATCTTATACATTATAAATGTTGTCCTGAGAAAGGGGTCCTCAGTCTTTTATCAGACTTCAGAGGGAGTCCAAGGCACGAATGGCAAAGGCTCTGCCCGAGGGCACCGTTCTTGTGTGCGTGGTAGAGCTCCAGCTCGCAGGAAGGGGAGTGTGCAGGGGTCCAGGGCCAGAGATTTCTGGTAAATATGTAGATGTCAGCTATACACGTCCTAGTCTGCCCTGTTCAGCACACAAGAACCTAGTCAGATGACCATACCACCTGCAAGGGAGCCTGGGATATGCAGTCTCTAGTTGGGCAGCCCTTAGTGGAAGGAGCAAGACGGATTTCATTGACCACTAGCAGGCTGATATGAAAGGATGGACAGGTGCGTATTAGGCAGATACACTGGGAACGATCCCTATGTGTCAGGTCATGGTCTAGTGGGGAGACTGACCCATCAGCAAGTAGTACCCAACAGCGTGAGTGGGCATCGGTGCCCTCAGGTCTAAGAGCCCCAGCGTATTTGGAGGATTTGGCTAAGGTCCTGGGGCATTTTTCTCTGGGACACCAAGGGAAGGCAGGACAAGAGGTGAAGGGAGCTGAAGGTGAAGGGAGGTGAAGAGGTGAGCCCAGGCGGGTCCACAGCTTCTTGGGCCCTTGGTCACTGAGTCTTTAGGGGACCTCATGGCATTCCTGTTCCAAGCTCAACTGACACTTCCCTCTGTTTCTATTAGGACAGCTCTCTGTGTGTCCCCAGGGATTTCCCGCTCTTGTTTTCGGGTGTGAAATTGCCTTTTAGGACAACCATTGTGCCCCCTGTGGTACTTCATGACTCACCCCGTCCTATTGCAGGGACAGGGGATGGAAATAGTGTTCGTGACCCAACCAGTGTGTGCCGCACACTGGCCCAGGGCGAGGCCTGGCCGTGTTCGCTTATCCTGTCTCGTCATAACCCCGTGAGGCCTACCCAGGCGGGCCCCCAGCCCACTTCACCGGTGTGGGCACTGAGGTCTAGAGGTTAAATGGCTGAGCTGAGGTCACTCAGTTCTTGCCAAAGAACTAATTCAAGGCTGTTCAAGCTAGACCACTTCTGTCATGCTTCATTGTTTACCGGTATCTTACCTGCCCCCTGGCTTACAGGATCCTACAGGGGTGTCATTACATCCAGTTGACAGAGGAAGCTATTGAGATGGAGAAAGAGATTGTCACATGGCCAAGGGCACACAGCTAGTAAGGGGACAGGCCTTGAATTCGAACCCCAGTCTGATTCCCAATCCTGAAGTCTCTTCACTAGCTCACCACTACCTGGGATTTACAAGTGCTTTTCTTGATGGGTGGGCAGTACTCACCCAGGTGAGCGTCTTGTTGTTGTCCTCATGTTAGGCTTACAGGTGAGAAACGTGAGGCTCCACGAAGTGTGGTCGCCTGCCCCGCGTCCCACAGCCGATGAAGCAGCAGAGTGCTGTTTGCACCGGGTCTTCTTCCTCTACATCCTCAGTGTGCCCTCTGCCGCCCCGCACGCCCTGTGCCCCCCGGACTGGCTGCGACCCCGCCGTCCCCTCTGTGTGCTGGAGAATGTCAGGCACACAGGTGGTATCATTGGCTCACTGAGTGTTGATTGTGCACTTACTCTCTGCTAAGCTAGCACAGGAGATTCAGCAGGAAATGAAACAAAGTCCCAAGGAACCTTTAACCATTTTTAATGGTCTACGTGAGTGGTCCTCATGGGACTTACATTCTAGCAGGGAAGATAGAAGCAAACATAGATACATAGAAACACATGGACAAAGAGTGAAAAATAACTATGAAGGGCTAGAGAGTGAATGAAGGGGTAGGAAGGGACGTGTGGGCTATTTTCAGATCAAGCAGTGGAGGAAAGTGCCTCTGAGGAGGTGACGCCGAGCACAGAGCTGAATGCCGTGAGAGGAGCCAGGCCGGGAGGCATACAGCGCGGAGGGGCTGAGGCGCGGCGCGGCGCGGCAGCGGGTGTCTGCTGGCTCAAACGTCCTAGACCTGCGTCTTGAGGGGATGGGTGATCTGTACTTGTTCCCCTCAGCATAAGAAGCTGGGCCCCCGAGGCGACATCGACGTCGACATGGAGGACAAGAAGGACGAACACAAGCAGCAGGGCGAACTGTACATGTGGGATTCCATCGACCAGGTGAGCCTCTCACACCCCTTCGCAGAGTCCTGTGTATCCGAGGCCGGCGGGAGGGCTCGGGGAACATCCCAGCCTCACTCCTGTTTTGGCCCGAGGGAATTTATCATTATAATGAAACTTTATTTTTCTTTTATGTTTTTAATGTTTTATTTTGAAATAATTTTTATTCAGTATAACATGCTGTATACTTAAACCCACCCATACAAGGAATAGACCCTTCGCCCAGGTTCCCCAAATACTAACATCCTACATAGTCAGAGTATGGTGACTGTCACCAGGAAGGTAACCCTGGCACAGTACTGACTAATCCATGGGCCTTATTCCACAATCACCGATTTGTCCACTAGTGTCCTTTTTCTGGTCCAAGAACCAGTTCTGGATGTAACAGGGCAAATGTCCTAACTCCTTAGTATCTTCCAGTCTGAGATAATTCCACTGGAAACCTTATTTCTTGGTGAGAACAGGCATTTTGAGCACAAACACCACTTCTCATATCCCTTAACCTAACATGCAAATCCACTTGAGCATACTTTTACATGTCTATTCTTACATCCTAGAAAGAAACATTAAAAATGGTTAAGACTTAAATAAAGAATTAAGTCATAATCAAATCTTGAAGAAAGGGTCTCTAAACAAACTGGCTAAGAAATCCTGTAAGTCTTAAAAAGTGAATGGAATAGAAAAACACAGTCATGAGAACATAAAAAACAATCCCATCATTCATAAAGGTGTCAAATTAAATATGGAATAGAAATTTGATATTAAGTCATTTCTACCCTTGGATACACTGAATAGAAAAGTTCGGAAAATGCCAAAAGAAACTCCAAATAAATAGATGTTTTAAAAGAAATGCCTCAAAAGGGGTCAAATTTTGTGAAACTACGATGAATGTCTACAAAAGTGGGAAAGGCAAGTCCCTAGGTAATGCTGGGGTGATGGTGCCCAGCAGGGACTCTGCGCCCCAGAGTGGATGGGGTAGGACTTTGGGAACAAGTTAATGCTGGTTGCACTTTCTAGAAATGGACTCGGCACTACTGCGCCATCGCCGATGCCAAGTTGTCCTTCAGCGATGACATTGAACAGACCATGGAAGAGGAACTGCCCCAGGTAGGCGGAGACCTAGATGGCTCCTCTCATCTCTTTGGGTGCCAAGGCCTCCCTGGCTCTTCTCTGATTGGCTGGCTGGCCTAGAGCTTAACCAATGAGGTTTGAGGGTGATTCCTGCTCTTTGAAGGGTCTGAATGGCATGCGCTGCCTTGAGAGAATGGGGTGAGGGGGGGCTTTGGATGTTTTGTCTGGCCCACCCCCTGGCCTGGTCTCCAGCGTTACCTTCAGGCTGCTGGCCATCCTTGGTACTACTTTTGGAGTGTACCTCCCAGGGCATTATGGCTCTCAGACTGCCTTTGCAATAGGGTGAGGGTACTGGGCACCCTTTACCCCTTGTCTCAGGACCCCAGGAGGCTACCATGGGAGGGGGTATCTAGAGTAGGTTAGCAGGCAGGTGGGGCCTGTGGAAACTGTCTTCCCAGACCTCTTGAGGTGAGGGCCAGCTGAGGCGAGCCTCTGTTTGTTTTCAGTCCCCTGAATCAGCACATAAAGAGGGACCAGTCTCATGATGCTGGGTGTCTGGTGCAGGTTTTCAGAAACCCCTCTTCTCTTTGTGGCCCAGGATACGCCCCCAACAGAGCTGCATTTTGGAGAGAAGTGGTTCCATAAGAAGGTAGAGAAGAGGACAAGTGCTGAGAAGCTGTTGCAGGAGTACTGCTCTGAGACAGGGGGCAAGGATGGAACCTTCTTGGTGCGGGAGAGCGAGAGATTCCCCAATGACTACACCCTGTCCTTCTGGTAAGGGCCCTCTGCCCTGGGGCATGCCCGCTGCCTCCTTGCAGCTGGCCAGATGGGGGGGCTGGGTGGCAAGTAGTGGGAGCTCAGGCCAGACTTGGGCAGGCCTGGACCAGAACCAGGACTTTGGTTAGTGAGCTGTGTGGGACAGGACTTGGGTGAGGTGGGGGAGGCCCCAAAAACTTGGTAATCAAGATTAGTGATATTTCAATGCAATATTTTAAAAAATCAAACGTCATGTGAAAAATTGTGATGAACAAAATAGCAACATTTTAAATAAAAACAGGATGTGACTCTGCACTTAAGACAATGTAGCCTCACTCACCTTCCCCTAATTCCAGCCCTGGGTCAGGTGATATGACCCTGGGCAGCTCCCTCAACCTCTTGGATTCTCGCTCCCCTTGTCTCTAAAACAGAGATTCTAAAATGTCGCGAGCTTTCTCATTCATTCGTGCATTCATTCACTCACTCATTCATCTACACCTTCATTCATTAAAAGATATTTATCGAGTGCTTGCTCTGTGGTAGGCACTATGCTTTAGCAGCATCAGACGGACAGGGTCTCTGTCCTGGTGGAGATTAGCCTGGTGGGGAAGATGGACAATGAAAAATTAATCATGCGAAGGATATGTAATTGTAGTTGTGGTAAGTGCAACGAGAAAAATGCAAGCTGTTATGAAAGTCTGTTAGAGAGGGATCTCATGTAGTATTTGGGGCAGGGCGAAGTGATGGTCAGGAAAGACTCCCTGAAAGAAGTGGTGTTTAAATTGAGACCTGAAGGATAAACATTACAACAAAATACAAAGAATCCTGGTAGCGAACACATTCTTACCACGTGCCAGGCAGCATTCCAGGCACATTTTGTGTGGGCTCTTGTTTAACCCTCAGGACAACTATATGAGGCAGATACTATTATTATCCTTGTCTGACGACTAACGTAATACAGAAGCTCAGAGAGGACAGGCCATGTGGCAGAGTCAGAATCTGAACCTAGGTCTTCTGGCTCCAAAGTAGGAGTTACGTAGGTAAAAGGGGGCAGTGGGTGGAAGAGGGAGGTAGAGTGTTCTGAATCCAGAAAAGGACCAGCCTGTGCTAAAGCCTGGGGTCTATTCTCGGAGCAAAGGGAGGCCTGTGTGGCCTCACACAGTGTCCCCCTCTCAGGACCCCTGGCTGCACTCCTGGCCCCTGCCTGTGTCCTCTGACGCCCCGGTGCAGGAAGGCCCGCCCACCTGGCCTGCGCCCTGATGTTGTCCCTCTGCCCGCAGGCGGTCTGGCCGGGTCCAGCACTGCCGGATCCGCTCTACCATGGAGGACGGGGTGCTGCGGTACTACCTGACTGACAACCTCACGTTCCCCAGCATCTACGACCTCATCCAGCACTACCGTGGGACGCACCTGCGCTGCGCCGAGTTCGAGCTCCGGCTCACCGACCCCGTGCCCAACCCCAACCCCCACGAATCAAAGCCGTACGTGAGCCCAAGCTCTTGGGGCAGCACATCCATGGGTTTAGCCGGGTACAGACGCCTCTGCAGGTTGTGGTCAGCCATCAGAAACGCCTCCCCGTGGGTGTGCCAGGGCCCAAATCCTCTGGGGTCTGTTCAAGTTCCCAGGGTGGCCCCAGTTTCCAGATGCCTGCTTCCCCTTACTTCGGCCCCATTTCTTTCTTCTCCCTTTCTTCTACTTTATCCTCATAGTCCTGAACTCCTGGGCCTCGCTTTTCAGAGATTAATTTTGGCCCAGCGATGCCTCTCTGTTTGTCAAAGATCATTCCTGTTTGTCCTGAAAGTGAACAAAGAAAAAGTAATGGTAAAGCTTTCCCCTTCATTTTTACCTGGTAAAATGAGTATCAGTAATGACTTGCAAAGGGTTAACCAATTCTGGAAACAAAGAAAAATACAAAAATCTTTAAGCAGGAAGCTGTTAAAGCACACATTGCTGAGAAAGCCATATAACTTACAGCAACTTTATTTTTCATTCTTCTTGTTTATATTCATACAGTTTGCATTTTAAATCTTGCTATTTCACATCTTTAAAAGTAAACAAGGACCAACGAAACAGGAAAGAACCTGTCTAAAATACTACGCCCTGTGGTCTCTGCCTCTGATTCTCTGTGCCACCCTCTGATACTGGCAGTTCAGAGGTGGGCAGGTGGGTAGGGTAAAGGTTGGTTCATTTATTCTCTTGTGCTTCAAACAGACCCACTAGGTGAACATTTCACCCAGGTGATGTCTTGGTGGTCTTTTTACAAATGTGATCTTCAGAGGCGTTCTAGATGGGAGGCCCACTGGATTTCCATGGCGGTTTCTGGGGCATTTAGGTGTCCTCAAGCCCGCTGTGTCCCCCTCTGTGGGCGGCCCCCTCACCTGGCCATTTCCCGGCCCTGTGCTGCAGGTGGTACTATGACGGGCTGAGCCGTGGAGAAGCAGAGGACATGCTCATGAGAGTTCCCCGGGACGGCGCCTTCCTCATCCGGAAGCGGGAAGGCAGCGACTCCTACGCCATCACCTTCAGGTAAGCACGGAGAATGGAGCCTGCTGGGTGCCCTCCTGAGGAGGCTCAGGAAGGTCAGGTGTGGAGGACAAAGGGGGAACTGCAGGCGGAGGTTTAGCTCAATGTTCATGTCCTAGAGGGTCAAAAAAATGACGGCAATAATAATAACAAAAGCAGCCTACATTAATATGTGCTTTCAGTGTGCCGGGCACTGGTCTATATTCTTAATGATCTGTGATCATGATCGTTATTTTTCAGAGGAGGAAACTGAGGCACAGAGAGGGTGAGTAACTTGCTAAAACGTGCAGCCAGTAAGTAGTGGGGCCGGGATTCAAACCCAGGCGCTTCTGGCAGCCCAGGTCAGTGATGTTACAGAGCTGATTTCCTCCCAGCTTTACTTGCCACCCAACACTGCCAGTGAGAAGGTCGTGTGGAACACCCATCTCTGTGACTGGTTCTCTGCTTTAATTTCACTCCTTGATACCGGACTCCTTCAGTTTCCACCGATGATGGTGTTGGAGGTAGACTCCAGACCCACTTCCTCATACTGCCCCTCCGTCCTCCTAGCCCCTGTGGATTCCTGACGATGCTAATAGAAGGCTGGCTACTGTGAGTTCCTAACTAATGTCCCAGGCATTGGGCTGCCTTTAAGGCTTCATCTGGCTGAGTCCTTCACTGTAGCTGGTGAGGGGTAGATTCAGTTACCACAAGTAAGGATATGGAGGCTCAGAGAGGTAAAGTGATCTGCCTAGAGTCACACAGCGTAGTCCTGGGCTGAGCCGGAATGCCTGACTGGGGCCTCCTCCCCTCCGAAACCTATGCTCTTCACTGTGAGGTCACAAGCAAGCGGCCTTCAAATTAGGTCAAACTGGGCCTGGGGCTGTTTTGTTCAGCCTACATGGTGATGTTAAAAACTGAGAAATTGCACTTGAAAATTCAGATTGCTGCTTATGAAATATGGGAGGAGGTGGCAGCTGTGGGCCCAGGCTCTTACATGGTGATGGAAGTCACCAGGTGACCGAAGGGGCCCTGGCGTGCCCAGGCTGCTCCTGTTCCTTCCAAGCCCACTGGCCGGTGCCCCTGGGTCCCCTGCCAGGCTGCCCTGCCGCCCCAGCTACCCTCGAGCTGCCTTCTTATGTGTGTGGTGGCGGGTCGGAGGCAGAGAGTGATTGCCATTATCACTGCTATTTACCGAGTACCTACTGTGCGCTGGCTCTGGCCAGCGTGGCTCTTTTGTGTTTTGTGCTGCCTGTAGGGAGGCTCTAGCCTTCCTGGCATTGGCCTTGCCCTTTGCTCTTTTCCTCAAAGCCCTCAGTGGTGCCTCCTCTGCCTGGATGGGAAGTGGGCTGGTTTGATTGAACATCTGCTGCACCAGCTACCATTCTGGGTGCTGGGGTTCATGTTGTAGTCTTGTCAGTCAGGATGCTGTTGGGTACAATGGACAGACACCAAGCTCAATGGCTCAAACAACCAAACTAGGTGGGATTTGCTGGTTGCCCGCAGAGATGCTCCGACGGGCCTGGATGCAGGCCTCGCCTGACAGTCCTCACGAGGCTGGCTTTGTGTGTCACGCCGCTCCTCTCCGTGGCTTCATTTGCAGTTGGCTTTACCTGGGGGGTCAGGACAGTGTCCAGCAGGAAGGAAGAGTCCTGCCATGGACCCCCACTGGCCCCTGCTTGAGCTGGGTGCCAAGGTTCTCATGGGCACCTTCAGGCTGGCAGTGGGGTTGGGGTCAATTCACTGGAACCATGTGGATGAAGATTGATGCTTGATTTATGTTTGCCCACCATTCTGTTTGCCTGTCTGTCGTCCCCGTGAGATTGGAGGCACCCTAAAAGCCCGAGTTTTTAATTTTTAGCAATCAGTAAATGTTCATTGCGTACCTACTATGTGCTAGTCCCTGTGCTGGGCTCCAGAAATACAGGAGTGACAAAAATTGCCCAGCCCTGCTCTCACAAGGCCAGTGGCCTCCTGGGGATGAGAGATGTCACATTGCTGTCTTGCCATTCGCCAGCCTTCTCCTACCTCGCATGGGCTAGGAGGCTGCAGGCAGTCAGTAAGTGCCGGCTGAAGGGGCCTCTCTGTCAGGGAGGCTCCATCCAGCAGGCTGTATCTCGAAAAGGAAGGGAGGGGAAGGCCATTTCCATGGTGTGGGATGGTGAGTATCTGCTTTCCCCTGCTGGGCGCCTGCTGGGGGCCCTCAATAATTGTAACAGCCAAAAACGACCTCCTCCCACCCTGGCTGAGTGGCTTACTTGGTTAGAGTGTCATCTGTACACCAGAAAGTTGCTGGTTCGATCCCTGGTCAGGGCATATACCTAGGTTTCACGTTTGATCCCTAGTTGGGGCATGTACAGGAGGCAACCAATTGATGTTTCTCTCACAATAATGTTTTTCTTTCTGCTCTCTTTCCCTAAGATCAATAATTAAAAAAAAAAAAAAAAGCATATCCTTGGGTAAAGATTAAAAAATAAAGACCTCCTCCTGTCCTGGACGCACATACTGTTTCGAAATTATTAGTTAGGGTGTGGGGTGGGCATTGCTGTCCCTCATTGCCTCTGAGAGGGTAGCCACAGACACAGACTACTGCAATGTCGTGTGACAAGTGCCACAGAGACAGGTGGGGCGGAGTGACTGGGAATAGGAGTTCTGGGAGAAGGGGCGGGGGATGTGCTCCAGGCAGAAGAGGACACAGGTCTGGGCCCTTTTCCTGCCCGTCCATATGTTTGTGGGGTCCCTCGCTGGGCCAGGCGCAGTTCTGGCCTGAGAGCGTACACTGGACCTCTGGGTAGATTCCCTCAGCAGAGGAGAAGCATCAGCTTTCAGATCCTTTGGAAAAGACGAAGTTGTTGTCTGGGTATGAAGAGTGGGAGGCATCCGTGGGAGGGACCAGGAGCTTCTTGGTGAAGCTATGACCTCAGGACATGGTGACCACTGACTTGTAGCAACACACATGCCTGAAATCACAACTCACCCTCTAGCCCGGTTTTCACCTTTTTCTTTTGCCCAGGGAAGTGTGTTCTGGCCTGACCTTGGTTCTATGTTCCTAACCCTTTGTGTATTAAGTACCCTCTGGTTGCAGGACACATTGCAAAGGGCTTCCCCGGGGTGGCCTGGCAGGAGGGGTCCTGACAGCCTGCAGGACACAGCTGCTGCAGCTTCCTGGCGCCGCGGGAGGGAACGTGCTCAGGGCAGCCGCCTAAGGAAGAAGCCAGAACCTGACCCAGGCTCCCAGCACCCTACAGCCCGCCTGCCCTGGGGGGCTTTTGTAAAAAGCTTTAAAATTAATTTTTAATTGTCTAAGTATATTCTCCTTATTAAAAATTGAGACAGTGCAGTGAAGGCTAAAACCCCTTGTGGTCCTGTTTATCTCAATCCTTGTCCTGGTAGAAAGCACAGGTTTCTAACTAGTGTCTCCATCTAGAAAAAAAAAAATTACACAAGTATGTTATATACCTATGGAAAGTATATAATGCCATTTGTGTGTGGGTAGTCTGTTTTATTTTTAAAAATACAAACGGGATCATACCATGGTTTTATTCTGCAGCTTGTTTTTCTATTCAGCAGTATTTCTTTAAAAAAATTATTAAAATATCACTGCCAATAAGCTACCGAAACAAGTCTTCTAGCATTTTTAAACAGGGCTTTTTTGAAGAAATGGCTTAAACAGGATGTGTGTTTTATTTAAAACCATAAAAAATGTCTCTAAGGTGAAACATTTTTAAAAAGATGAGTAGTTTCCCCATAGTAACTGCTGTTAGACAATTTTGATAAAAAGACGCTCTTAGCTATAAAATTAAGGTCAATACTTCTCAGATGTTTCTGTTCCTGCTGATAAGAATTAGTAAGACCAAGGAATCTGTTTTGTTTTGGATTTTTTTCTGCCTCTTGCTCCAAATGGATGATGAAATGAACAACTTGGTTCCTTGCCCGGTTGGCTGGAGTGTTGTCCTGTACACCAAAGGGTTGTGGGTTCAATTCCTGGTCAGGGCATATGCCTAGGCTGTGATTTTAATCCTCAGTTGGGGTGTGTAGGGAAGGCAATCAATCACTGTTCCTTTCTCACACCAGTGTTTCTCTCTGTCTTTCTGTCTCTCTCTCTGGCTCTCCCTGCCCCCTCTAAAATCAATAAAATATATCCTCGCGTGAGGATTAAGAAAAAAACAAAGACTTACTTCTTTTGAGGGGAAAAATGCCATTGATGAACTAGTTGGGACATTTTTAGATACAGATTTAGGCATGAAGTGCCAGAATTCTAGAGTAGAGACTGGCCAACATATTCTGTAAAGGACCAGAAAATAAGTATTTTAAGTCTTCCCCGTCCAGGGCCAAGGGCAAGGTGAAGCACTGTCGCATCAACCGGGACGGCCGGCACTTTGTGCTGGGGACCTCTGCCTACTTTGAGAGTCTGGTGGAGCTCGTCAGTTACTACAGGAAGCACGCGCTGTACCGAAAGATGAAACTGCGCTACCCTGTGACTCCCGAACTCCTGGAGCGCTACAGTATGGTAGGTGGTTGACTCCCTCGTTATTTGGTGGAATATCTTGTCTGAGGTTATAGTTCATATGTTCATTCAGTAAACCTTTACTGAACACTTACCATGTGTCTGATACTGCCCTAGTCCTGGGGATACAAAATTGAAAACAGTGGGCAAAGATCATGCCCTCATGCCGCTTATAGTTTAGTGTCGGGGAGGCAGATAATAAATGAGATACATTTTAAAATATACAGAGCATTGCAAGGTGGTGTAAGTGCTATGAAGAAAAACAAACTGGGAAGGTAGATAAGTATATTCAGGGTGCTGCGGACGAGGTTCTCCATAGTGCTCTGGGAAGAGCTCACTGAGGAGGCATTTGAGCAGACATTAGCAGGGGCGAAGGAGTGAGGCATACAGCTGTGTGTGGCACACAGCAAGTGCAAAGGTCCTGAGGTGCGGATGTGCCCGGGGGTGCACAGAGGAAGCCAGTGTGGCTGGAATTGAGTGAGCCAGCATGGGAGTAGAGCTTCCTAAGAATGGGATTAACAGGGGACTGCACAGTGTAGGGCCACTGTAAGACACTGGCTTCTATTCTCAGCCATTGGAGGTCCCTGAGCGAAAAAGAGACCTGATCTGATTACCTTGTCTCAGTTCCTAGCAGGTGCATTTATTAACTTACTGACAGGAGATTTATTGTGCACCTACCATGTGCCAGGAACTGCTCTGGATCCCGGGAGGATGGTGGAACAAGGCTGCCCTGGGTAATTTGGGTTCCAGTCAGGGGCGCTGGATAACAGTCACATAATTAAGATGCCTTCAGGCAGTGTGAATTACAAGGAAGAAAATCAAACAGGATGGTGCCTTGGGGGAGGGTGTTTTATTAGACTGGGGTGGGGCGGTCAGAGAAGGCCTCCTGCTGAGGGTTGAAATGCGAGCAGAAACCTAGAAGAGGGAGTGAGTTGGCCACGGTTGCTGTGGTGGGAGCCGGTTCTAGCTGGCGGAGCAGCCACCACGCAAGCCCTAAGGTGGCTCTGAGGGACAGAAAGTTGGCTGGTAGGGCCAGAGCCTAGTGAAAGAGAGGCAGAGGAAAGGTCGAGTGGCTTTTCTGTACGTGCAGTAAAGGGTTAACCAGTCCTCAGGGGAACAAAGCCCCTGTTTGTGGCATAGGCCAGTTTCTGTGGAGCAAATGCTTCACGGTGGCCAGTCTGAAGGGACCGATGCTGGCAGCTGGTCAGGAAGAGACCTGTGGAGGGCTCCAGCACCCACAGGGTTCGTGTTTTAAAAAAAGGAGCTCAGTGCCTTACGCATAGTGGGCCAGGACCGGGCCTTTCTCATTCTGGAGAAAAGTTTTCAGATTTGGGGGAACTTCTTTATGGTATCTTACTGTCTCTTCCCATGAGACCTGAGCAGACTGTAAGGTTTCATCTCTTCTGCCAGGGGGCAGGACACCCCCAGGCACCCGGAATCCTTGTTGCGTGCAAGGGCTCTCCCAGGAGCGTGGATGCTTCCACTTATTTTTCTTTGTTCTTTTTTCAGGAAAGAGATATAAACTCCCTGTATGACGTCAGCAGAATGTATGTGGATCCCAGTGAAATCAATCCTTCTATGGTACAGTCTCGACCTTTAATTCACACTATTTCCTGGTCACTAGATTGACACGGAGTCCACACCCCAGATGTAATAGGGCGAGGGAACATTTTGGGAAACTTGGCCAAAAAATGTATTTTTTCTTTCTTTCCTTTTTTTTTTTTTTTTTTTTTTTAAGAGGGAATGATGATTGACAATATGACATCTCATGTCATGGAAAGGTTAATAGAATTCTTCCTGATGCAACCGTGCCTTGCTAAAATTCTGAGGTTTGATGAATCACCTTTGGGCCACACGGTTTCTAATTAAAAGTTTTTCAGATGTTTCTTGCCCACTGACTGAGTTGGGGGTGTTTATAAATTCCGCCTGGTTCACTGACCTCCGTGCAGTGCGAACACTATCTCATACTCCCACCCCGGCTGTAGTGGAATTTCATGCAGGGAGGCTACATTTCCCTCTGAGCCCCTAGCTCCTCCTCGCTGTGGTTTCATCTCAAATGTAGTTTCAGCCTGCCGAGGAAGAACGATGTGAATTTTGTGGTTAAGGGGCTGTCTGGCACACAGTTAGTATAAAATTCTCGATCAGGAAAGGGACTCACTCACTGGTGGGCTCTGTAGAAAGCCAGAGACAAATTTTTACTTTCTAAACTTACAATCCTTGGCCAGTGTGAATCCGTTTCAGCCAAAAATGAAGTCTTGAACAGTTGTTGGCGAGTGGAGCTGTGTGCGAAGTGTGTTAGGGGACGTAGCTTGATAGCAAAAGCTTTTATTAGAGGTGACGAATGCTTTGGTAACGAGAATGACACGGCCTCATGTCGCCAGATGTCGGGGGATGGCGGAGACCACGGTAAACTGCGGAACACGCCGCCTACCTCAAGGGCAGCCGCGCCCCTTGAGCAGCCCAGAGAGCAGGCCAGGCCCTCTGATTTCTCAGGATGAGCCAATAATGGAGGTGTCTTATGTGGAATTTCCACATTTTTAAATCCTGGCAACTAAATGAAGTTATAGAGAAAAATCTTCCTCTACGACGTGAGCCAAGCAGCCCATGAGTGCATGCTGAATTTGATTGCAGGTCACTCGACTGAGGTGAATGCCTCAAAATTATTACTGATAGTTATGATTGAAAAATGACAGAACAATAAAAAAAATTTGGAAAACCAGTCAGTCCTAGTCTCCCCACCTTAACACAGGGGCTGTCCGCATTTTTGTTGGGCGTCCTGTCTCCGCTGCTCTTTGCAGTCACCACCGCCACCTGCATCTGTCATTTTTATTCTGCTTTGTTCACTTGCCACGTGGCCACGTGTGGGCTTCTCCATTGCTAATCTTCTTAATGACCATTTTTGTCTAACCTGATAGACCAAGTAATTTAGATGAAATATGTGGCTTGGAATTTTAACTTTAGAAAAGAATGTTTTCCATGCTGCACGATATTCTGGGTGGCTGTGCCAGTTTAGCTATGTCCCCATCAGTCGCTGTGTGAGTCATTTCTGGTCTTTGCTTTTCTGGTTAACCCTAAAATGAACCGCACGCGGGAGGCTTTGGGCATCTTTTGCATTATTTCCTTTAGATGAGCTCTTAGAAGTGGAACGACTAGACCAATGATAACAGGTAACGTATCAATGACCACACATCAAGCATTGTTCTAAGCACTTGACAGCTCGTTAATTCTCACAACAGCCCCATACAGTCGGTACTATTTTTTGTGCCCATTGTGCAGATGAGGAAATTGAGGCACACAGAAGTTGAGTAATTGTTGAGGTCACACAGCTAGGAGGGTGGGGAGCTGGAATTTGGACGCAGGCAGGCTGGCTGCCAGGTGAGTGTTCTTAGGCACTTTGCACTGCTCTGTGCCTGCTTGTTCATCTGAGGATGGGTAGCTTGTTTCAGGGTACTCTACAAGGGACCATGTGTCAGGCTGGAGACTTGCTCCTTGTGGAAGCCATTATGCGGTACCCCCGCCTCTGCCACTGGCTGTATGTTCCTTGTGGCCTTGGAGCCCGGCAGTGGCCTGTGGAGTTTCACAGGGGAAGATGTGGCTCCACCCGTGAAGCAAGGAGCACAGGTAGAGCAGGCTCTGTTTGCAGGTGGGGGAGACTAGGGCAGGAGGCCTGGTTTGCCTCTGGTCGGAAGTTCCTATTGGCAGGGCTTGCAGAACCCAGATTAGACTGCTCCTTAAGGAACATCCATGTACGATGGCAGTAACTCATGTTAACTGATTCATCTCTGCGTTCTGTCACCTACCAGCTGGTTGGCCTTGGGCAAGGATACTTGATTTCTTTGTACCTCAGTTTTCTCATCTGCAAAATGGGCATATAACACTGCTACCTACCTGTTAGGATGGTTGGGAGGATTAACGGAGATACTATAGGTAAAAGACCTAGAGCAGTGTTTTTGACTATAGTAAGCCCTTAATAAATGCTAGATATTGTCATTACATGCATTGTCTCATTTAATAGTCTCAACAGCCATGTGAAGCATGTAAAGTGTTCATTCCTATTTCCCAGATGGGGAAACTGAAGCTGAGAGAGCCTCAAGGTCATATAGTAGTAAGGACCAGGCAGTAACTTGAACCCCCGTTTGACTCCAGAGCCTGTGCTCTAGGGAGCAGTTCTGTTGAATTCCTTGTAAAACCCCTTCCCGTTCCCTTGAGTAGGGGGAGGGGAAGTTGCTGATCTAAACAGGTTTGACAGTTTCAGAGGTTTTCCCATTAATACTTGCTTGCTGCATGGATATTCATTTTGCCATGGATTTATGCTTGCCAAGCAGGCATTAAAACAGATTTCATTAATGACAAATTTTATCCTAAGTTCTGGCTTATTTGTTTGTGCCAGTGCAAAGATCACCTTCTGATGAATTTCATGGAGTTCCTCAGGTACTCCTGTAAAATATCAGGGTCCTACAGGAGTCTGTGTAGGAGACACTTAAGCCTAGGTAAATGTTGGTAAGACCCAGGATGGCCAGGAATGGTATTGAGTTTGAACTTCTGGGAGGAACCTTGAGCATGGGCACTGAGGACTTCAGAGGTGCTGGCTGTGACTTAATCTGAAAGGTATGTGCTTTCTTTGTTGAGGAAACTGAGCAATTTTGGGTGCCCTTGACTCTGGGGTGCCCTTGGCTCTGACCAGGCCAGTCCCCATCCCTACATCCTAGTGACTTTTGTCTATGGATCCTTCACAACACTAGCACTTCACAAGCAGATGGCGCCATAACCCTGGACTGAAGCCTCCAGCTCCCTAAGGAACAGAACCAAATGAGCCAGTGAATGCAGTTGCTTCCCTCTACTCATGTGAGGGACCTGACCTTTTCCTTTTTGTTTTCCCTGAAAGCCTCAGAGAACTGTGAAAGCTCTATATGACTACAAAGCCAAGCAGAGTGACGAGCTGAGCTTCTGCCGTGGCGCCCTCATTCACAACGTCTCCAAGGAGCCCGGGGGCTGGTAAGGCTGAGCCGCTTGGTAGATGAACTTGACTGGTCACTTTTTGGTAGTGAGACACAAGTACTGGCTGAGCTCTGACCCTTCTTATCTGCATTCTGAGCTCTCTTTGACCTGTTCTACCTTCTCTGAGAAGTGGCTTGATACATGCGTGCTCTATTCAGAAGAGTGAGTAAGCAATAATAACAATTATCATATATCACATAGCATAATATATCATATCATATTACATATTATTTTAAATGTAATAGCAGCTACTGTTTATTGAGGTCTTACTGTATGTCAAGCACTATGCCAATTGCTTTCATACATCACCTAACCAAACCCTCATTACAACCCTGTGGAGTTAAGACTGTGATTATTCCCCTTTTACAGGCATGGTGAATGGGGCTTTCCAAAGTTGCACAGCTTTGAAAGTGCACTAGCTCTTCCTGTTATATAAGCCTTTGCATTATTTTAAGTTCAAATTCTTGTGCAATGGCTTAGTGCCGTGCCCTATGTAGTAGCCCCATCCTAGGCTGAAGAGGGCACATTTTAGGCCAAAGGTACCTGGGTGTATTAGTTCTTCCCTCTTTTCACATGGCGAAAAAATTCACTGCCCAGCCATAGGCCCCAGGGTAGGTGGTTTAATAAGGTGATTTCTACCTTAGAGTCTTAAGAATTTGTTCGTAACCATGAACACTGGCAAAGACTCAAGCACCACACAAGATCGGGATCTCTTCTCCCCACAAATGGCTGACCCTGACCTAGAAATCTGAATAGCAGCTCAAATTGAGTGCCCCTATGTGTCAAGCACTGTTTTGAACACTCCATTTGAAATAACTCATTTAATCTGCACAATGACCTGTAAGGTTGGTTCTGTTGGTACCTGCATTTTAGACAAGTAAACTGGCACAGAGAAGGAGAGTAACTTGTCCAGGGCCACACAGCAAGCTGAGATTTGAAGCCAGGCCTTCTGACTCCAGAGCCCACACTCAACCTAACTCATGTACTGGGTCCAGGGGCTTCCAAAGTTGTTTTGATTTCGAGAACCCCCTCTCCAATCCAATTCTTACCTGGATTTCCCAGAGTCAAAAACAGGTAACAGCAGAGTTAATCTGTTGGAGCCTGGGCTTGGAGTCCCCTCCTGGCCTCCCCGCTGGAACCCCTAGTGCTCCTCCTTGTGAGATCCTGGCTCCACATTGCTAGCCACAGTCGTGTCCCTCCGCCTCCCTCCAAGACAGAGGTTTGACTTTGCCAAGGTCCCTCCTGCTCAGCCACATGGCCAGAATCCAGGTCTCCCCCAGGCCCCAGCGCCCCCTCGCTGTGCACCTGCCCCCTGCCTCTGTTGAGGTCTCATTTCTGTCTGTGAGGAAGACTGACATATCGAGTTGTGGGTGGAGCCCGGGTGATCACTGCATCACACACTTCTGTATGTGTGAAACAGCCTTATGCCTCTCTACTCCTCTGATGTGGGCTTCTACAAGTTCCCAAGGCTGTTGTCTTGAGAAGAATGAAGAGACTGGCATGAGGGCCTTTGCCGAGGGACTGTGGGTAAACCACTCAGCTGAGGTTCCTTCATTTCTTATTCTCTCCAGTGACAATAGTGCCATCTAGTGGGATGCCTGTATCAGACCCCCTTTCGTTGCATCCTCCCCAACTACTTGGAGTATAGCTGAGGGGACCAAATAATTTATGTGCGTACTGGGGTGTATTTGAGAGTGAAGAGAATGTTATTGTTAATAATTACACCTGGACAACAGGCACAAATCGCTCAATGCTGGGGAAATAGTCACCCTGAATACAGCCAGCTTTTGCCTGAGACGGACCTGGAGAAACGAAGGTGAAAATTGCTTACAGCCGGTGAGCCTGTATTTATACGAGGCTAGGGGACAGTTGGCCCTTACTCGGCTTATTCAGGGCAACAAATAGTGAAGTGTTTCCCGCCACCCCTGGTACAGATTTGATTGAGATTGAGAAAGGTTTCACATAGTGGGGAAAGCAGATGTGTAAGTTAAATATAAGATGTGGACCACTCTGACGTCTGTAGGGACAGATGCCACAGGAGCACAGAAGAGCGCTCAGCCTGAGAGGCAGTCAGGCAAGGCGCCCTGGAAGAGGCACACCTGAGCTGAACCTTAAATGGTTAGTAGGAGCAAGCTGGATATGAAGGGCACAGACCAAGGCATGGAAGCTGGGCAGCATAGCAGGGGCACAAGTTGCGGGGTGGGGGCGGGGGCAGTGTGACAGGTTGTTTGGAAAGAAGGTCAAGTTTGAGTTATGGAGAGGCAGGAGTTGAGTGAGGTTCCTCCAGAGTCCCTGGGGTCAGACCACGTGGGCTCTGACTGCCAGGCTGAAGAGTCTGGACTTGATTCTGGAGGATTTGGGAGCTGCCCGTGGGGTGTGGTCAGAGGTGCATCCTGGGAAGTCCTCCTGGCTGCAGAATGTGGCCCACAAGCGCTGTTGGAGGGGAGAGCCCTGCATGTCCAGGCACTGGACATGGGGCAAGAATCTTGGAAATGCCAGTTCAGTGGAGTCAAGACACATGCATAGCTCAGCTGCGGCCTATGTTGTTATTAGTGCTGTTACAGAGGCAGGAAGAAGGTCAGGGGTGGTAGTTTAGCTGAACAACAAGAACGAACACTGTTGAGCACCACCTATGCACTGGGTGCTGTTTGAAGCTCTCAGCATGTGCTAACCCATGTAGTCCCAATAAATCCTCTGAGGGAGGCCCTGGGATTACCCCCATTTTACAGAAGGCACAGAGCACCCATGTAGCTGGTAGTGGAGCTGGAATTTGATTCCAGGCTCTTTGGCTCCAGAACCTTCTTTATCTCACCCTTGTCTCTAAACTCATGGTGCTCCCTGCTCTAGAGTAGAGCTTGTGCCTCGTGGGGCCTGTGATGCCCATGTGAAGCACTGAAACTTTTGACTTTTGGTGTCTTTGACCAAGAGGCAAGAGGATTTCCCCCCAGTCACACTCATAGCTGATAAAGAAAAGCAGAGGATCCCTTTGAAATGCTCCATTATTTCAACACCTCCTCTGGTCTCTCGGTCACTTGCCGCCTTCCCCCCACCAACAGCGGGGATCTGAGGAGCAGAGATGGGTTATTAACACTGCTCAGTGAGGCCCTTGATGTCCTCTGTTCTTATCTAGGTGGAAAGGAGACTATGGAACCAGAATCCAGCAGTATTTCCCATCCAATTACGTTGAAGACATTTCAACAGTTGATGTGGAGGATCTGGAAAAGCAGGTGAGTCTCGATCATTGCAGGGAGGGACCTGCCGGTCCTTCGGGGGATCCACTGAGCCATCTCAGTGGGTACATTTTATATGCACTGCCATGTGGTCCCCATGGAGCCCTGAAACAGTTGACATGGAAATCAGGATTGTCCCCCCGAGCTGTTGTGGGTGAAAGTCACTGTGACAGACCATGTTTTAATCAGGTCGTGCTGGGCTGGAAGGCTTTGAATATGCAGGAGAAGTCTCTCTAGAGTGAAAATGGCCAAACGGGGAATTTGTCCATTGCTTAAAGCAGCTTGCAAATGAAACACATTTAGTTTGGCCAGCCAGACACTTGGCACGTGCTTGGTGTGAATAAGCAAGCAGGCCAAAGTGGAAGGTGAGTTGAGGTCTTCCTGGTGACACTGCAGACCTGGTTCCTGTTCCCTGCCTCCTCTGGCCCAGAAGGCTCAAAGAGCAGCCACTTTCAGTGTGACAGCACTGCACCAGGGATGAACTCTTTGTATTGAGCACTTTAAGGTCCTGTTTGAGCCCAAGGAATTTTCTGTGGGAGCTGGGGCAATCTGGGAAGGCTGCATGGAGGAAGTGGCATTTGAGCCTTAAAAGACAAGTCAACTGCAAGAGACTGGCAGGAGGGAATTCTAGGTGGAAAGTACAACCCAAGCAAAGGTGCAGTGATGGGAATGTGATTGTGTTTGGTGTGCTCAAGCTGAGGCAGAGAAATGACCCTCTCACTGTGTTTGTCCATGGTACTCCTACCCACATGGCATTAGCATGGTGGAGGGGTGACGGGGTACACACAATGGGCAGATGCACAGTTCTGCCAGCTCTGCTCACACCAGGGTATTCCCTATCTCACCTGGGCCCTGGGAGATGGAGCTGGAAGGGCTCCCAGAAAGCCTAAAAGTCAGATCACAGAGGGCGGATGTTGCTTCCACAGGACGCAAGACTTCTGTGACTTCTGGAGAGTCACAGAAGGTTCTTGAGCTGGGCTTTAGGAGGCCAGATAGTCCCATCTCATAATAATGTCAGAATAAAGGGTCTGGGATGTTTCTGAAACCAGATCCATGGGAATGCTTCAAAGCCTGTGCTAGAATTCACAAGGCACATTTTTATGGATTGGAAAATGAAATGCTGGACCTGCTGGCACCTGCTGGCTGCTCGGTCCCTATCAGTCACATGCTTCATTATTTTGCTCTCTCCCCCTGGACGTATTCTGTAATGAAAATGCATTTTAAACAGTTCCACCAGCAGTGTCTCTGCTAAACGGTGTGCTTTGGAAACTGGTTGTCTTTTATGATTATACCTGTTAAAACTAACATGAGTTATGTCTTATTTCTTCACAGATTATTGAAGACAATCCCTTAGGGTCTCTTTGCAGAGGAATACTGGATCTCAATGCCTATAACGTTGGTACGTTCACACACGGCCTTAGCCTGGATTCCCACCAAATCCCCCCTCCCCCACTGCAAGTCTGGCCTCAGAACTGCGCCCAGCAGGGAGGCAGCTCTCACTGAAGTTGAGTATTGGGCCAGGCTGGTCGCTGATTGTAATGTTAGGTCTGCTATTCATATCTGCAAAGTGCTAACGCAGAGTCTTGTGCAGAGTAAGTGCTAGACGAGTGTTAGAGGTTGTTATTCCCAACATTGTCATCATTTCAGGAATCTGCCTGGGTTTCCCATGCTTTTCTAAGGAGCTGGGCTGTTGGCCCGGCTGCGGCGGAGCATGGAGTTGGGAGTGTCTGGTTCCAAACCCAGTTCTGCCTCTCAGTTGCTATAAGGCCCTGGGCCTGTCACTTCTGGCTGTTCAGCTGGACATCAGGAAACCTGGCCTTGGAGTCTGGTGCAAGGGGAGATGTGAAGGCATGGCCCAAGCACACAGGTGCATACAGCGGTGCCGCGGCTGTGAATCGCAGGGGGCTTCCTGAGCCTTGACCATGCCCACTTTTAGGTGGGTGTCTAGCATCTTCTATATGAAGGGACTGAAGGCAGTAAGGAGAACATTCTGGGCAAGAAGTCTACACAGCGTGCTTCTCGGGGCAGCCCCGTGCAGCCCATCAGGTCATTAGCCTGGGCCTGTTCCCTCCAAGACCTTCGCCGGGGAGGCCTGAGCATGGTCCAAGGGCTCAGATAACAATAGTGCCAGGAAATTTCTGCCTCTAGTGCCAGCACTTTGCTTTTTCCAATTATCACCTGTTTTGTTTTTTCTTGACAACAATCTAAAAGGGTAGGTAAGAGAAGGGTTTTTGGTTCCAGTTAAGAGAGAAAACCAGGCACCTAAGTGGCCACCAGCCCTGCCTGAGGTTCCCAGGCAAGTTAATGGGTGAGCTGAGCCTCACTTGTGTTGCTCTTGCTGCCCTCCCCTGTGCCGGATTTGCAGAGCACAGGCCCATGGCTGCATGGTTACCAGTAGGAAGCTTGGAGTCAGGCCTGATTCAAGCCTCAGCTTTGCCATTACTACCTATGTGACCTTGCATGTGTCACTTTCCCTCGACATGTCTTAGAATATTGCTAGGCACGTAAGAACTCAAAGATGTTAGTGAATAATGTTACTTGGCAGGTTATTTCTCCTCTCATAGCCTTAATTTTCTTACCTAGAAAACACTCTCTCTGCAGAGAGAATCTGTCCCATGCCTCCCTCCCCGCTTCTGGTACCCTCTGGCAGGCCTCAGTGTCCCTTGGCCTGTGGCTGCCTCACTCCAGTCTCTGCCTCTGTCTTTAATGGTCATCTTTCCCTGTGTCTCAAATTTCCCTCTTCTTTCTCTGATAAGGACACTAGTTCTTAGATGTAGGGTCCACCCTAACTCCGCAGATGGTCTCAGCCTGAGATCCTTCAGTACATCTGAAAAGACCGTATTTCCAACTAAAGCCACGTTCACAGGTACCGGGGTCAGGATGTGGATGTATCTTTTTTGAGAACACAATTCAGGCTGCTGTGTACCCTGACTGGTAATGTGCGTAAAGAGTCCAGACACTGCCTGATACAAAGCAGACGTCCCAGTCAGCACTGACCATGCAGTGGCACTTGGGTTCATGACAGAGTGGCTTGGGCAACGTGAAATCTGGTCCTCGAGGCTTTCTAACAGGCTGATCGGGACTTGTGGTATTCTCTCCCCAAAGTGAAAGCGCCACAGGGCAAAAACCAGAAGCCTTTTGTCTTTATCCTGGAGCCCAAGAAGCAGGGTGACCCTCCAGTGGAGTTTGCCACGGACAGGGTGGAGGAGCTCTTTGAATGGTTTCAGAGCATCCGGCAGATCACCTGGAAGATTGACACCAAGGTAGGTCCTCTGCTCGCCTGGGCTCGGGCCGGCCCGGTATTCCCAGGCCCCGGGCACTCTGCAGAGACGTAGGTGGGTCCGGGCAGCAGAAGGGGCAGGCCCAGGGGCTGCACAGAACTCAGAGAGGCGATGAGGTAGGTTCAGACAGGAGGTTAGCAGCCATCATTTTGACAGAGGAAAGGGATATTGGAGGTCCCCCTGGGAAACTTCAGAAGGCTCAGAGTGTATGCAGTGACTCTTGATGTTTGGGGCCCTGTCTTACCAAGAAAGTTTTGCCTGTCTTATTTTGAGTATTTTCTTGTCTCTAAACATTGTTCAAAGCAGGCTGGTTCCCTCCTGCAACGAGTGTGCACTGAGCCTGCCTCCCCAGACCTGCTGTGGGTCCTGGGAAGGCTGTAATTGACAGGGCCCTGTTCTTCCCCCTCCAGAAGTTTGGGTTCTTATGGAGGAACTGCCACTCTGGACGGGCATGAACTTTGCAGGGTTATCCTGACCAGTGTGTTAGTTTGTCTGGAAGTGTTTTGTAAAGGGTGAGGTTCTGGGTAAGAACAGGAGTTTTAGTACAAGGCAGCCTCGAGTTTGCCTCCTGGCAGGGCTGCACCCTCTGGGCAAGTAACCCAATGTCTCTGGGCCTCAGTTTCCTTGTCTGCAAAACGAGAAACCAGAAGTACGTAACGGAAAAGATGAAGTGACGATGAAATGAGAGGAAGCCTGAAACGTGCTAGGCTTGGTGGCTGACATTCAACAAGGGCTCAGTTCATGGTGGTGGTTAACCATCACATGGCTGTTACACCAGGGGGACGTGGGGAATGGTTGGTGCCATCGGCTCTTTCTTGTGGCCATAGAACTGGGAAGAAATTTTGGGGTTTCCCATGTACCCACTTGCTTCTAAGACAGGTCTTGGCCCCGAGGACTGATTTTAACAATTCCCCAGGAGCCTTTGGGGTCCTCTTCGTTCGATGCACTGGAAGGCCAGGCACCAGCAGCCTAGTCTTTCCTTCCCCCTGGGGGGCCCCACATCTTGGCCAGTCTCTGGTCACTTTGACTCACCCTTTCAACACCGTGAAGTCCTCTTTCTTAGAAGGCTTTGTAGGAAGCTGGGGGAATGGGCCCTCTCCCTGGTAGGGCCCCTCATCTCTCCTGTCCCAGGATCTAGTCACAGGCCTCACACCTGGGTCCTCATTCTTCCCAAGCCCCGTCACACCATCACCAGTCACTTACGATGAGCTGTGGCCAGCAAGTTTCCCCGTTCCCGCTTTTCCTGGTCGGGGCATCTCATTTGCCTCTGTGCCTGCAATGTATTAGATCTCGGAGCCACAGGGGGGCGCCACTGTCTCAAGGTTCATTTGAAAGATCATTTCCTGCCAACACATTCCACGGGTGTTGATGTTGCCGGTTGAGTCACTGTCATCATGAACTGTATGGTGCCATTGGGCAGCATGTGACTCTCCTGAGCATGTTCTAGTATTTGCGATTCTGAGTATCTAAAGCTGAGGGTGGAGAAAAGCACTAGTGAGAAAGCCCATAGCAACTGTCCTCTGTAGGCTTTAGTCTCAGGCACCCAAACCTCTCCTGAAAGTGGGCCGCGTGTCAGGCTCAGAGCGGCGCAGGCATGGCGGTGACGCCCTCTGCCGGCTGCATCCTGGCTGTCCACTTCGCGTGGAGAAAAATGGGACTTCACTTGAAGGTCCTCTGCCCCCTTCTCTCCTCTCCTGCATGAAGGTTTCTGAAGTTAAGCCTCGCTGTTCAAGGCTCCTTTGATCTACATTCCTCTTTAATTGGTTTTTATATCTGCTAAGATTTCATTAGAAAAAATTTTTATAAAGTCTTATTGTATAGGAAGGTTTAAAAAAACAGGAGTCAGCAGAGTGGACTGAGTCTTGCTCTGGGCACAATCAGCTGTAAGGGGAGCTGGTGGGGGAGCAAGGAAGGAGGCCCCGCCCTGCCTCGGGGAGTCCAGCGTGCGAGGGGAGCGCCCCGCATACTGCCGGGAGCACCCTGCCGGGGCCTCACAGGGGTGCCTGTCCCTATGAACATGCTCATGGCTCCGTAATTTTGCACAATTTCTATTAGTCCCTGGGGAAAGACCAGTCACTAAATTCCATCTGGTTAGTGAGTTTCCAAAGCCTGACCAGTGAAATATGCTGTGACTTCATATTCTGAGATAGCCTAACGGGCAAAATCTGCCCATCTGGAGAGTAATTGTTACAAGATGTTGAGGAAGCAACTGGTATTTCATCTTAAACTGATACTGTCTTCTGCTAAGGTTAAAACAAAACAAAAACAAAAACAAAAACAAAAACAAAAAAAGAAGAAGCCTGTAACTTGTCATTGCTCTGTGCTTTGTGAGGCCAAAGTTCCATAATTCACCAGAGGTATGGCTCCCCACCTAACCCAATTGAAAGCCTTCCTTTCGTCATTAGAGCTGAGCTGTGTTGTTACCGTGTCTCCTGTCCCCAAACAACCCCATGGTGGAATTACCAAGAACACAAAGCCAAGCTGATATGAAGTCTAGGAGAAAACACCCAAAGTTCGAAAATAAGTAAGGCTTTTGTTTCCCCTGCAGCAGTTTCCTACTGACTGTGTGCCTGGCCTCTTGTCCGCCTCTCACTCTGGGCTTATCCTTCCTACGATAACGTCCTCTAGCCTCAGTGCCGTGCCTTGCATTTAGAAACTGTGGAAAGGGCTGGCGATATTCAGGTGTGTGTGAGTAGATGAGCTAGAGCAAATTTGGAGGCTTCTAGTCACATTCAAATCTGTCCTGGTGTCGTGGTCACTGCCAGGGCTCATATAAAAGGCTTCTTTGCTGGTCATTGATTGCAAAGGCCCACCTTGGCCCCACGGTTAATGTGAGCACTCATGGGTTGGAGGTATTCTTTGAGAAGAAATCGGGTGCCTACACCTGCCTTTTTTGAAAAGCGGACTTTTTCCATTTTTGTGTGGGGGACATTTCTGGAGCAGCCTGAGTGGGTCCCACTTGTTGTTTGCCACACGCCTGGCAGAATGCTAAGGTCTCCTTGTTTGATTCTCTGGGAGCGGAGTCCTCGTGTTAGCCTCGTTTGACAGTTGAGGAAACTGAGGCGCAGAGAGAGTCTATAACTTGCCCAGTTGACCCAGATAACAAATAGCAGGGTCAGCTTTCAAACCCATGTCTGATTCCGGTCCCCACTGTCATTACCACTGTGTTAGGTAGCCCCTCTTTCTCCCCATTGCTTCAACACTTGCTACCCATGGGGCCCTGCTCCAGAGGGACACGTCTCAGTGGGGAAGCAAGGTCTGGGCTGTAGTGATGAATGACATCAGTGCAGGACAGTTGGACAAGGGACATTGTGAGGCTGAACAAGGCCAGGCCTGGGTGAAGTACTGGGCACTCTGGAAGGTTTGAGGGAAGCAATATCCTTTTCCAAGTTCTGGCTGGAGTTATCCAGGAAGGCTTCCTGGAGAAGGCACGATCTGGGAAGGGTACAGGGGGAGGAGAGGTCTGATGGAACAGCAGAAGAGGGAGGATGGGGACTGAAGGGTGAGGAACCAGGAGGTCATTCCTGTGCTTCAGGGGACCTGGGGTGTGAACTGCGGGGTATTTTAGAGAAATCAGAGGCAGGAGGAGACTGTGCACATTGCCTCGGCCTCAGAGAGGAGGGGTGCCTGGGACAGCAAGTTATGACAAGTATGCTGTGTTCTACAGAGCCCAGGAGGACATGAGGTCATGGGCCTGGAGAACTAGAATCCGATGAACTGTAACAGTGGTTTTAGGGGAAGGGATAGGCCAGGAAGCCGAGAGCAGAGGGTTAAGGAGAGGGGTGTGGTGACAGACGTCAGTCTTGGGTAGAAACAACTTGGTTAAGACAGGACAGGAAGAAGGAAAGAGAGGAGGGGCAGGAGGAAGGAAGGCATTCAACCATATTAAAGATCTAGCGTGCAGGAGGGCCAAACAGAGAGATGGGAATCAGAGGGGAGAAGGGCATGCCAGGTGGGTTAGGGGGATGGGATTTCTCGGGTGCTGGCTTGAGGGCTGGAACTAAAGACATTTGGCCCAAATAGGAGAACAACATGAAGTACTGGGAGAAGAACCAGTCGATCGCCATCGAGCTCTCAGACCTGGTCGTCTACTGCAAACCAACCAGCAAGACCAAAGACAACTTAGGTACTGTCTTCCATGACTGTGCCTCTGGATGTGGTGAAAACCCTTGTTTCCTCTGAGTCTGGCATTGTCACAGAGCACCATGAGTGGGGTTCCTGCTCATTCTTAACTGCTCTAGGTAGAACTTCCCCTCAAATTTGTCCTCAACGCCAGGGTGCTAGTTACACAGGCCCTTCTGGCATCTAAGGAGAAAAACCCCTCTCAGAGGGCAAGGTAGTTTCCTACTGCTACTATAACAAGTTACTACAAACTTGGTGGCTGAAAACAACATATTTATGCTTTCTCAGTCCTGGAGGCCAGAAGTCTGAAATCAGTATCTCTAAGCTGAAACTGAGGTGTGAGCAGATTTCAGCCACTCCCCCCAGAGGCTCCTGGGGAGAATCCATTCCAGCCACATCCAGATTCTGGTAGCTGCCAGCATTCCTTGGCTTGTGGCTGCATCATTGCAATCTGCCTCTTGGTCACACGGCCATCTCTTTGTGTGTAGTCAAAATACTCCCTCTTATAGGGACCTATGGTTACATTTAGGACCCAGATAATCTCCCCATGGCAAGCTCCTTAAGTTAATCATATCTGCGAGGTCCCTTTTGCCATAGAAGGCTAAATGTTTGGGGCAATTATCGAGCACAGGATTAAAAAATGACTCGTACCAAATTCTCCTAAGTAGCCAGCTCTTTGATCTTACAGTGATCCCATTCACATTCTCTTTCTCCTTTCTTTGAACCTTTTGAGCAGCTCCTATCTTTGATCTCAAGAATGTGCCAAGGACCAGAGAAACAGCACTAAATCCCAGAGTTAATGGTCACTGGAAGGCTGTTCCCTGGGTACTGTCACTCTGCAGGTTTATGGGCTCTCCCACCACAGCTGGATGCGGAGGAGCAAAGCTTCACTCCAGAAAGAATTGTTTGCACGTCCCCCTCCCTCTCCTCCCATTTACCCTCCCTCTCCTCTCTCACAGCCTTTCCTGCAAGCAGTTGATTCTCCCTCCACCAAGAGGCTTGGTTCACTCATCTGTATCTATAGCATCTTTGGTGAGGAAGCCATTCCTAAGATCTCCTCTTACCTGCTGATTCCTGAGGCCCTTTCTATAATTGAAGCACTTTCCTGTTTTCTTGTGCAAGGCTGCTGGTAGTTTTAAACAAAAAGAAAATTACAATAATCCTAGATGAAAAGGTTGTGGGAACACTGGGGTCCCTTTTAATAGTGAGGATCCCTGAAGGGCAGAAGCCCATAGCAGTCCCAATTATGGCAGTATCATTGGGACCATGTGCATGTCTCATCAAAGAGATTCCTGGTTTCATTTTATAAGTCTTCACATTAAGAAAATGCATGAGACACACACTAACAGTTACTGTCTCCTTTTGCAGAAAATCCCGACTTCCGAGAAATCCGTTCCTTTGTGGAGACGAAGGCTGACAGCGTCATCAGACAGAAACCCATCGATCTCCTGAAGTACAATCAGAAAGCCCTGACCCGTGTTTACCCAAAGGGGCAGAGGGTGGACTCCTCCAACTACGATCCCTTCCGCCTCTGGCTGTGCGGCTCCCAAATGGTGGCACTCAATTTCCAGACTGCAGGTAAGGGGGCAGTTTGTGGCCAGGAAAGCCAAGATGATGGTGGTGTCATTCCAGGCACAGTCTTCTGGGGCCACCAGTGGGACGCATTGTCCCAGAACATGTGATCTGTCCCAGCACGTGTGGTTGAACTGGTTCAGCCAGCGTGCTAGTGTGAGGCATACCTCATCAGCTGAATAGTGAGTAAGGGGGCTGATGGGACACACCTGACAGTGGGTACTTGATGTGCCAGGTGCCCAAAACTGGGTAAGTCTGGATTAAGAAAGAAAGGAAATTCATTAGCTCATGTAATTAAAAAGCTTAGGAGTTGTCAGCTTCAGGCACAGCTGGAACAAGGTGCGGAGTAGCTTTCTTCTGCCTTTGCTTCTCTTCCTGGTGTATCTGTCTTTGCAGGCTTCATGCTCAGACTCTCCTTCAGAGATATTCACATGCTGTGGAAAGTCAACGTGCAAAATTCTTTTTATATAAACAGCATATATCACAGTGTTTTGCGCTTTTGTTGTTATTTAAGCCTCTTTTGGGGATCTGTTTATCAGTTATGTCCTTTCTATTGCTTTTATGCCTGCACAGGATTCCACTGACTAGAACCATCATTTATTCAACCAGCCGCCTGCTGAGGCACATTTAGGTTATTCCCCATCCTTTGCTATTCCAGATGGCACTGCCTTCTGTAACCTTCTGTGAGCACCTGTGAGGCAGTTCTCAGGCGTGCAGGGTGGGTCAAACAGCACTAGCATTTTGATCAACTGCCTTGAGGACAACCACTGAACACCTGTATCCAGTGGTGCCTGAGCTGAGATACTTGGCCACGTGCTTCCATAGAGGTTATGGGTGGGAATGCAAACTGGTGAAGTGTTCGAGTACATCCTTCTGGTATAACTTCACCAACTTAGTTCCATCAATCTCTGCCCATCTCATAGATGAAAATTGCGATCACATTGTCATTAACGCTTCCCTTATTGGTATTGCCCTTATGAGTCATGTGAACCAGTTTCTTATGTATTTAGGAAGCACTTGCTTTTTCTTTTCTGCAAACTATCTATTCATGCTTCCGACCCAGATTTTCTAATGGGGTGTAGGTATTTATAGTGCACATTGATCAGATCTCTCAGTAGGTTAACTTTAGATGTGTTTATTTATGTAATTGGAGTTAAAAGAATTTTTCTTTCCACAGTATGCCTTAACTTTTATGGAATTTTTTTTTCCATGTAGAGATTTTTAGCTTGGAGTGGTTTTTAATAAACTTTTATTTTATTTTATTTTTTTATGGTTCTGGATTTGGTGTCATATTTGGAAAGGTATTCCCTCGTCTGAGATGTTTTAAAAAGCCCATGTTTTTCTTCCAGTAATATGGGTTTTCAGTGGATTTTTTTAAACCCATATTTTGAGTTTAGGTATCTATTTTAACAACTGGCTCAAATTATTTTTGGAAATAATTTGTGTAAATCCTTGCCCAGGAGGCCAGCCTTGTCCTGCCTGACTCACAGCAGCAGTGCCCTTTCCTTCCCAGACAAATACATGCAGATGAATCAGGCCTTGTTCTCCCTCAATGGGAGGACCGGCTACGTCCTACAGCCCGAGAGCATGAGGACGGAGAAGTACGACCCCCTGCCACTCGAGTCCCAGAGGAAGATTCAGATGACCCTGACGGTCAAGGTAAGGCCCCAGCGTCCTTCCTCACCCAGGGAGCCAGGGCCACGCGGCACTGGGAGGCCCAGCCCTGTGCCTAGTGACACTGGTCATTTTGTTTAAACCATCACTGCCCAGATGTCGTTTGAGGATCTTAATTACAGTGCACTCCTGGGCAGGGAGGGAGATCGTCTCACATCCATCTTGGTCACCTGACCCGTGTCATCTGTGGGGCTAAGGGTTCAGGAGGGTTTCTCCTGGGTCCCAGGGAGGACAGCTTTTGGCCAGGAAAAGAAGGAAAGAAAGCCTGTGGGGAAGTGGCCATTTGGTCTCTATGGAAGGTAACGTTTGTCCCCACAAAGGCCAGTGTTATGTGTGAAAGCTTTTTGAAATTCACTCAACTTTCAGAGAATATGCTGTCTCTTTGTGAGAACTTTTGTTTTTTTCTCTTTTGGAAACTATGAAAGGTAGAAAAATAAACTGCATTTCTCGTAAGATTTAGGAAGAAAAAAATGAAGGATTTGTAACCAAAGGCCTTTAAGAGAAAATCACACACTCCCCCATCTTTTCCTGGGAACTTGCAAATCAAATGATTAAACGCTCTGTCTCTGTGGGTGCCCACCTGCGCGAGGGTGCATGTGTATTGTGTGTTCCGGTGAGGTGCACCTGTTCATTCTCATGGTGTGGGCGCTCTGATCCTGGCTCGTCTCAACAGCGCTGGGAATCCACCCCAACTTCCTCATCCATGAGAGGGAAACAGCGGTCGTATCCACTTTGAAAGGTTGTTAGGACTTCTCCAATAAAATTGAGGCTGGCTTTGAACTCATATAGTCTGACGTTAGAACCCAAAATGAGCTCCCTGCTAGACCACCCACGCAGAACTTGTTAGCTCTTCCCATAACGGACCTGGGCGAATTCCAGTACTTACCTTTGGTGTCCTAGGTTCTCGGGGCTCGCCATCTTCCCAAGCCTGGACGAAGCATTGCGTGTCCCTTTGTGGAGGTAGAAATATGTGGAGCCGAATATGACAATAACAAGTTTAAGACAACGGTTGTGAGTAAGTTGCCTGGCTCCTCCCTTCTCTTAAACTTCAAGTGAGTTGGGTCCCATGTTGGTGATGCTCTTCATTGGGGATGTTGTAATGCACTTGGGTTCCGGTCTTTTCCTTCATCCCTTCCGCTTACTACAGTTCAAGTCCGGGAGGGGACACAAAGGACCATGTGATTAAGCAGTTGGACTTGTACCCAGTACTGTGATTCCCTGTCTGTAACTCAGGGAGCAAGGCTGTAGCTGCCTGTGCGACAGCCCCGCCTGCTTTATCTCCGTAGTCCAAGACTGAGAAGCAGAGACACACAGAGGAGGTGACTGCCTTACCCACAGCCTGCAGCCTAACCTGGGCGATCTTTTCCCACAGAGGGCAAAGGCCTAGAGAAACGCTTGTTCTTTCATTTTAAGCAGGGAAGAAACTGAACCGGGGGGGCCTTTTGAGGCCTGGGATCACTGCCCCTGCTGAAAGGCAGGGACAGCTCACACACTGAGCAGTGGAACTGGCATTTGTGCAGGTGGCGGGTTGGCCGCCTGCCTTACTCTATGAGGCTGGTTCTCTCCTGACAACGGCAGAACCTGTGCTGGCTCTACCGCTTCAGATGCCCTAACCCATCCCCCCTTCCTCTTACATCCTCCAAGCCCACCTGTTCCTGCTCTGCCACTGCCTCTGGTCCCTTCCACGTCCCAGGGGGTTGAGGTGGGAGCTGTATAAAGGGGTAGGGAGTCCTCCCCGGCCTTCCTCAGGCCTGTGACAACAGCTTTACCAGGATTGCTACTGGAGAAAAAGATTATTCCTATTTTCTTAGATCGTGGCATAGATGCATGTTTACACATTTGCTAAGGAGATTCAAAGCCGATGAATGTAGAGCCGGTTTTTCCGGGGGTGGGGGTGGGGGGCAGGGGTGGGCAGGACGAATGGGGCCTCTGATGAGCTTTGATCACCTTCCAGATGACAATGGCCTAAGCCCTGTTTGGGCTTCGACACAGGAGAAGGTGACTTTTGAAATCTATGATCCAAACCTCGCATTTCTGCGCTTTGTGGTGTATGAGGAAGATATGTTCAGCGATCCCAACTTTCTCGCTCATGCTACTTACCCCATTAAAGGAATCAAATCAGGTGAGCACCTTTTAATTAAGATGTTCAGCTTGGGCTAGCATTGTTTTTTGGTCTGTGCTGATGGCTTTAAAAGGAATAAAAAGCATTTTTCCTGACTTTTAAATCACTGCAAAATGGATTAGGTAGCTTGGATAGCACATCTCGTAGTGCTTCCCTGAGCTGGCACACGTATAGGCCATGGTTTAGCACAGGGACGGGGTGGGGGTGCTGACCAGATGGGATTCTGGGCCCTTCAAAATCGGGCGTCTGTGTGCAAAATTGGACTATTAGTTAATTTTCCACCTGGCGCTGCAATTTGATTTCATTTGGAAAGGCTAGAAGGTGTTGCCTGGCCTCAGCCAGGAACCTGTCTGGTCGGAGCTCCTGCCCTCTGCCTGGCTTCCCTGGCTGGGAAGGAGAAGGCCCTCGGCCGCGGGCGGGAGTCGCAGTTGCAAGGCCACCTCTCCTGACTCATGCAGGCAAGTGGCTGAAGCTTTCAGAGCTCTGCTCTCCTCTTCTATAAAAGTGGGACAGTTGCTTTTTTTCCAGTTGCAGTTTTCTTCCAAAACACAAGCCAAGCTAGGTCATGTGACCAGCTCTTAAGAAGCGGGAGACTGGGTCCCACCCCTCCAAGCCTGGTAGACGCTCCGTATGTAGTTTGTCTCATTTACTTTCCTGCTGGATTTTATGTAGAATGTTTGCCAAACAGACTCTCCCTTAATGTTGAATTCCCTTTTCCCCTTCCTTAGTATTGGAGACATTAGAGCACACAGATCTTCTCAGTTCCTCACGAGGTCACTGTTTCCCTGTTTTCTAAGCATTATTTTTCAAGAGAAAAAGGTCACTCTCATTTTAGTGATTTATATACAAATATATTCTTTTCTCTTGATGTTGTCTGGAATCCTTGAGTTCTGTTTTCTGGGGTTTTTCCCCCCCTCTGAACTTGGAGCATATCAGATATTCCCTAAATTTCCAGCTTTCTGAAATCATAGGTCTGATCGTTTCTGCCGCTGGGCACTTGCCCAGGTAGGCATGCTGGGACTCTGGTTAGAAAATGCAGGCTCCCGAGCCTGTTCCTAAGTGGGGTTCTACCAGCCCAGGTTGGGATCTAGGCCCATGTGTGTTCAGCCAGCTCCCAGGATGGCACTTTGAGAAAATTGAACCTAGCTGAAACTGAGCTAGACTGAGCCTGCCCATCTTATCATTATGGAAGCAAATTCCTAAGCAAATGAGTGGATTAAACAAGAACCTGAGAAATGCTTAAACTGCCTGATTTTTAAAGCACTTGAGAAACATCCAGCTTCCTAATTTACTCTAATAAGCATAACAAGCACTGCTTTGTAAATCCCCGGGGCCTGATACTTGGCAACCCTTCTTGGTTAACTTGCCTACTAAGTTACACACTACTACGTTAAGCCCAGCAATGTAGGTGCAGTTCTTAATTTTGTAATCAGCCTTTTTCTTTCCTAATCCTCACCTGAGGATATGTTTATTGATTTTAGGGAGAGAGAGAGAAACATTGATCGGTTGCCTCTGGTGTGCGCCCCAACAGGCGGTCAAACCTGCCACCTTTGGGTGTATGGACAATGCTCCGGCCAACTGGCCAGGGCTTGTAATTTGCCGCTCTTAAAATAAATAACACTTAGGGCAGATTCCTTTATATGGTAACTATGCCAACCTATTCCTGACCCGTGCACACAAGAAGGATGAGGCACGTGAGCAAGGCAGCCCCTCTCAATGCCTTGGGGAAAGGTGACAAGTCCTCCTTACCAGCCACCAAATTGTATCGATTCATCTAGAAGATGCTGTGACTTAGCTCGGAGATTTAACAAACAAAGCCCAAAGCTTCCAAGAATGATGAAAACTGTGACCCTTCCCCCAGCTGTGAGATACCCAGTGAGGTCCTTTTCTTTCTCTCGCCTTCCCAGCTTGTAACAATGCCTGGCACAGCCATATTTACCGAAGGAATGAAATAAAGTGAACAACCCCTTTGTGCGTAAGGCATTGGGGGCCTTCTGAACTAAAAAATAAACTTTGCCCATTGTCATTAGGGATATGCTTAAGCTTTTAAGCCAGCTGGAGCTCAGGAAGAAAAACATCATTTATTGTGTTAGGTGCCTTAAACTCTTTCTCTCTTAATCCTCATAGCAATCCTATGAAAAAGGTTTTTTATCATCTCTGCTTTTTAAATAGAAGCACTTTGGGGCCTAGCGATGTTAATTAACTTGCTCAAGGTCACACACCTGGAAGACGAGAGTGGGATGCAAACCCAGGGATGTCTGACTCCAAACCCATGTCGGCCTGTTCCCCAGGCCTCCCCTACTCCTTCTGAGCCAAATGCTGCTTAACTCTACAAAAGATGTCTCTGGCTCGCTTTCCTCTGTGACACAACTCAAACCAAAAAGAATAAAAACAGAAACTGTTTTGGGTGAAATTGATAAACCCCTTTTAGTCCTAATTCCCAATATTCATGAAGGGCTGCTCGTAACCATGAGAACTGGGCAGGGAGAGGAGGTACGCGGGGCTGGAGACGCTGGCAGAGGGGCCAGAGCCCAAATCTGGAGGCGCGCACTGACTGCAGCGGCACCACTTTGCTTGCAACTGTGTCAGCTGAGGGCACAGGCTGCTGGCAGCCTCCCCAGACACCACGGAGCACTCAGATCCCAGTACATTCTAACAGTCAATCCATAGCTAGACTGCTTCCCCCGTCCACAGACCAGCTCCTTAGAGAAGCAGGAGCTCAGCCCCACCCCAGACCTCCAGAGTCAGAATCTGCAGTGTCATCAGACCCACAGGTGGTTCCTACCTGCCTCCAAGTTGGAGAAGCCTGGGGCTAGACTGCAAGAAGTCTGTGGGTTTGGTATTTTTGCCTGGATACCAATCAACAAAATTTCCATCACCCTTGTAAGGAGTAAATGGGTCAGAAAACTTCCCTGTAGCAGTATCCAAGGAGAACAATGTCCCCAAAAATCCTTCAGGGAAAAGATTCTTAAGACCTGAGAAGTTTATACCTACTCACTGTCACTCAAGCATAAAACTAAAGGGCAGATGTGTTCAAACATGCATGGTTGAGGGATATGTCCGTGAATTCAAACTGAAGAAAACAAAAGACAAATTTAGCCAACAGAAATGTTCAGGAAAAGGGTAGTAAGCATGGACACTTAAAAAAAAAATTGTGCATTTCATTGTGTGTGCCAATTTTATATCAGAAAAAGAACACTATAAACAAATACTGAGCTCTAGTCAATGAAATGCGTCCTGACATATTCAGGGAAAATGGTACAGATGTCTTTCATCTTACTTTGAAATACACACACACATATGATAGATTGATGGGTGGAGAAATGTGCTAAAACAAGTATGGTAAAAGGTTAATGATGAGATCTAGGTAGTGATTGTACAAGTGCTTCTTGTAATACTCCTTTAGTTTTGCTGTACAAATGTCAGAAAAATATAACCAGGCCTCCCTTTGTGGGAGAATTATGGTTACAAAATGGAACACACGTATTACAATACCATGTTGACCTAGAAATACGGATTTAACGAATTAGGGGACAAAGAGGGAGAGAAGGTACAGGGCTGTGTAAGCATGCCAGTTTCCTTGTCTTAAGCGGTGAAAAGCAATTGATTCAACAGATACTATTTAAAGGTTGTAACGTAGCGTAAAAGGTTCTCTAAGAGAAATGAGGATAATCATCGAACAAGCCAAACCCTGAATGAAGAAATAGTGGGAGTGCCATAATTTGAGTACTGCTTGTCCTGAGAATCAGTAGATACAATGCAAATAAAAAGCTTTCAAGTTGGAGAGGCAGGTCCAAGATGGCAGTGTAAGTAGACGCTGTGCTTGCCCCTTTCCAAGAACGTATCAAACGTACACCTGTATTCAGAGCAGTTTCTACTGAGAGAGAACTGTGAGCCGGTTGAAAAGCTTCTACACAACAAGTAAGAGGAAGGGACCACATACAGAAGGTTGGGGCACCATGACAGTGCTCTGGGAGCTCAGGAAACAACCCAGGACTGGAGGAACCAGTGAGCACCATTGTTAAATTTCCCCTAAACGTGGACAGTGGCAGGAGCTCCATCTAGGTTCTCTGACTGACCTGCAGGCCCCAGGTACTGCTCTTGGACCTGGAGCCAGGAGAAACAGGAAGGCATCATAGCATGCAAACAAGGGGCACCTCCATCAGGAGATTGATCCAGAGGATACAGCAGGGTTCTGCTTTGCACATCACTAGGCTGCACACACAGGGGGCTCCCCTGCCTGGACAGAGTGTAGAGCTAACAAAATACTGCAGTCAGTTCCTGCCAGCAGGGCTACCCTGTTCAGATGGAGTATGGAGCTAGCAAAACACTGAGGTATCCCCATGCAGGACTGTCCCTTCCAGAGAAAGTGCAGAGATAGTGAGGCACTGCTGCCTATGCATGTGGGGCTGCCCCACCAGAAGGAAGTGCGGAGCAAGCAAAACTGCAGTGTCCACCCAAAAGGTGCCCCACCTGGAGAAATAGCTGAGTTAGTAGGGTATTGAAAAGTAGGTATGCAGAGTAGCCTCACCTGATCCTGCCCTAAGGGTAGACAGTTAAAGCAACAGGGCTGCTGGTGCAGAGGAGCTGCACTACCTTGACGGGGAGCAGAACAAGCAAAGCACAGCTGTGTGTGCATACATACTAGCTGCACGCAGAGACTGGGCAGAACTTGTGGGGCATTGAAATGCTGGCATGAAAAGCAGCCCACCCAGACCTTGCTCTGATCACAGACAGTTAAAGCAATGCGGCACGCCAAGAATGCACCTAGCAGCCTTGTCTACATCAGGTAGTGAGACAGAAGGTACCTCACATGCCTGCTCGGACTACAACCAGACTGTCAAAACTATTCAACCCAAGTCTACACAGAGACCACTCTTGGGAGGGATAGCTATCCTATTCATCTCATGGGAATAAACATAGTAAGTCAGATGAAATGGGGAGACAGAAGAATGTGCCCCAAATGGAAGAATAAGAAAAAAACTCCAGGGAAAAATGCC